TGTTTTGAGTGGATTTATTTGAGATGTGTAAATCCATGACTAGTAGCTTGTGTTGTGCGGCGGGGATGACTTTGTAGTCTATTACATCTTTTAATCTTCTGCGAAAGATTAGTATGTAATCTATCTGTGTTTTCCTTTTACCCCTTTCGTATGTTATTAAATGACTATTCTTTTTCCTATAGTAGGTGTTGGTTAAGGCAAGGTCGAAGGCTTGCGCAAATTTCAGTATATGCTCTCCTTCATCATTTCGTTCTCCATATCCAAAACCACCATGATGCCTTTTGTAGCTATCTCTTGCTTTCCCCACATGCGCATTTAAGTCACCACCAATTATGACTAGGTCATAGCTTCATCAAGGATAGTTCTAAAGTCATCTTTCTCTTCTTCCTTGCAACCCGTTTGAGGAGCATATAATGAAAAGATGTGTAGTATTGATTGACCAATGCAGAGTTTTATCTTCAATAGTCTATCAGAGATCCTGTTGACTTCTACAACTGAGGAGATTAGATCTTGACTGAGGATGATGCCGACACCGTTCCTATTGCTAACAAGTCCATTATAGTACAATTTATACCCATCTCCAATCATCAAAGTCTTCTGTCCTTTCCATTTCGTCTCTTGTATGCACGCTATATCAACTTTTCTCTTGTTCAACATTGATGCCAATTCTCTCGTCTTACCTTTAAGCGTCCCAATATTCAAACTTGCTAATCTTGTTTTCTTTGCTTTGACCTTTACTTTACTTTTCACAGGATGGAGGTCTACACCCTGCGCGTCGCATGGAGGGAACGCCCTAGCTTTAATATTCATATTTCCATTTGTTTTCTTCATTTTGTTTTATATATAAAATAATTATATATATTTAATTTTGATAAATAGGAATATAGAATAATTAAGGCTAGGCTTAGTGTGTGTAACGTCTCCCAATCCCTACATTTTGTTTAATTAGTTTTAGGCGATTTTTCGATTAGGCCTAATTAGGTATTGTTGATTTTTAAGCTAATAACTACTTATAAATGTCGGACAATTTTATACAAACTTATGGAGAGACTTTAATTTATAATCATTTTTATAACTTTTGAAATTTTTTTTATGTAAATTAAAATTTTAAGAAATTTAATATAAAATCTTCTAAAATTTATAGGGTTTAGCCTTTAATATATATAGATTTTCATTATAAATTATTAAATATAAAAATTTTTTTGGCGATCGTATGAAATTCCCAGGATTCTCTTCAGAATAGATCTGATAAAATCAAATTTATCAAGGAAATTAAAAACACGCACTAAAATCAGATCAGAGAGCTACAGGCCTGGCCTTAAACCTGATTCGAATGCCTGGGCCGAAAATTTTATTTTTTAAAAATACATGGGCTGGGCTAAAAAAAAATTTTAAATACCCGGGCCGGGCCATATATTTTATAAAAATCATTTTTATAATCTTAACATGCAGAATTTTTTATAAGATTTTTATTTCCTTCCATTTCGTCGAAATCAAAAAATAAAAATGTTTTAATAATATATTAAATAAAATAACAAAATTTTCAAATCTTTTCTATTCTTAAAAAAACAAGCCAGATGCCGTCATATAAATTCTCGGAACACCCTTGAATAAAAAAAAAAGGGAAAAAATAATCTTAAGTAGTCTATTTATAAAAGTCTACAATTTTTGAATAATAAAAGAATGTTTTATATACTTTCAAAATATTAATTTTTTTTATTACTTAATTTTTTTTACTTAAAATATATAATTTTTTTACTAAAATATAATATAAATATAATATTTTTATTACTTTTAAAATATAATATTTTTTCCTTACTCTTATAGATTAAAAAAATTTTTTTTAACTTTTTATTATGGATCAGGATATTTTCACTCCATCTGACAGTTTATCTTTTTTGGATAATTCCCCATTTGAAAATTCAAGTCATTCTCAATTTTGTGAATATTTTCAGGTAAAATTATATTTCAGTTAGCTAAAGTGACTGCTACATAAAATCCTGACCCATATATATATCATACAAATGATATTTTAAAATAGATATTACCATATATTTGCAAAATAGGCATTTTTAAAATATGTTTGTTACAAGGTTTTACAATGGATTTGATTATATAATAAATAGTTAATTTAATTTTAAATATTTTATATTAACTAAATCATACATTATGCCCAATTTAGACGGAAAAGAAATCGAAGAATATTTAACAGATCCGGTTGCTCAAACCTCTGTTGATATTATAGATTGGTGGTCTCGAAACGCTAAACGTTTTCCAAAGCTGTCGACAATGGTCAATGATTACTTATGCGAACAAACTACGTCCTTAGCAAGCGAACGTATTTTTTCTCGAGCCGGCGCAACCATTTGTAAGAAGAGGAATAGGATGTCAGCCACAACGTTAAAACAATGCCTATGTATAAATTCATGGGAATGTTATAAATTTGCGTGACGAATTTTTTGTATAATTTGTTATTTTTCCATTATTTGTTATTTGATTTATGCATATAATTTTTATTTTTTATTTATGAAAATAATAAAGATCCTTATACATTTTGCATTTGTAAATTTTTATTTATAAAATATAAGAGCCTACTTGCGATAAATGAATAATTTTAAATATATCATTTTTAAATTAAAATAGTTATTATTTCTAAAAAAAGGGGGGGGGGGTTTATAGATAAAAAAATTTTAATTCCTAATTAGTAGTACTCTGAAGATGTAAATGTTTTCCTAATTTTTTCTATGATATTCATTCTTAAGTATGAATGTTTGGATTTTGCATAAGTCATCCGCACAATTACCAAAAAAAAAATCAATTAAAAATTATAATTTATAATGATGCATTAGTGGTAGAAAGTATTTAGGGGGTTTAGATAGGCCCGCTAACACTCGCTTTAACAATCGTGATATGTAAACAAAATATTTGTAAAACTCAGAAATTATGAAAAATATAAAATTTGTCAAGAATTATATTCATAATCTTAAATCAAATAATAATTAAAATCTTGTGTTTCAAATCATTATAAAAAATTTATAGTAGTTACATATTACTTAATATTTTTATAAGATTAGGAAAAATATATGTATCTGAATGTCTTAAATTTAAAAATGAGTTCCTTTTCAATTTGCCCTGTATTTTCCTATTATCTACCAATCCTTTAAAAAGTTTCAAATGATATACCCCTCATATCTAATACCAAATATTATAAACTAAGTTTAAGTTAAAAAATAGAATAAAATATAATAGCAGTATCAATATTAGAGGTTTAGTTTTTTTTATATTTCTAGATTTTTAAGGGTGGAGTCAAAAAGTAATGAAGGAAAAAATTTCTTACTGAATCCAAATATTTTATAACATCTTTCCAATATCAAATTTTTTTAAATAGGCTTAAAACGTTTTTAAATAAAATTTTCCTCATTGGAATAAAATATAATTGCAGTGACACCTTATTACTAGATCCAATGGTTTTAGAAAATCTTTAAATATCCAAAACTTTTTACAAGACTTTAAATATAAATAAAATGTTTTTTTAATTTTTACATTTCAAGCCTGGTGTTAAAAAAATGGCAATAGAAATTTCTTTATAAAAATAAAATTTTAGAACTTAATATTAAAAACCACTAAGATTAAAAGAAAGTTTTAAAAAAACCTAAAGATAACGATTATGACAATTGTCACTTTTCTAAGGTACATATACACTGAAAATTTAATTTAACATGTTTACAATTAATATTTTTACCTATTTGCTTCAAAAAAATTCGAAAAAACTTAAAAATGACGATTATGACAATTGTCACTTTTCTAAGGTACATATTCACTGAAGATTTAATTAAACATGTTTACAATATATATTTTTACCTATTTGCTTCAAAAAAATTTGAAAAAACTTAAAAATGACGATTATGACAAATTTTAACGCAAGCCGACCTAACAAGCCGACCCAGCAAGCCAACCCAGCAAGCCAACCCAGCAAGCCAACCCAGCAAGCCAACCCAGCAAGCCAACCCAACAAGCTGACCAAGCAAGCCGATCCAATAAGCCGACCCAACAAGCAGACCCATCAAGTCGACCCCTCAAGCCGACTTCTCAAGCCGACCCAACAAGCCGACCCAACAAGCCGACCCAACAAGCCGACCCAACAAGCAGACCCAACAAGCCGACCCATCAAGCCGACCCAGCAAGCCGACTCATCGGGTGGGCCCAATGGGTCGGCTCATGAGGCCCATTGGGTCGGGTCGGGTCTGATCTATGGCTAAATGGGTTCACTCGGGTTTAAGGTCGTTTTTTCGGCTCAAACCTTGCTGGGTTTTCGGCCAAGCCGACCCGACCCAGCAATTTAGCAACACTACAGTTGGGCTATTCAAATTTTTCAGGGGGCTCGAGCCCCTGCGCCCCCTCCCCCCTAGTGACGTCACTGATGTTTATACATTCATAGAAAGTACATTTAGGATATACAATCAATTACCATAAATTGTATCCTTAAACAAAATACAATTTATTTAAAGTTAATACATTACAGTAAACAAAATGATTTAATATAGTAAATCTAGGTGGCGTGACTAACTTATTCCATTATGTTATTATTTGATTAAACATTTGATTGAGAATGCTTTTCAGAAGTACTTTGTATTTTATTTTTTCATGTCAAAAGATATGTTTACTAGTTATTCTTATTTTAAAAAAAATACTCAATTTTAGAATGGTAGGTGTAGTTACAAGGTTACTGAGTTTTCAGCAAAAGTGTGCTTCGATCTCTGGACCCGTTTTCTTAAGACCATCTTCATGAGCGAAGTTAGATTTACGGTTAAAAGATTCCAGATATAGGATAGGAGGCTATATATATTATATAAAAAGGTAAAATTTAGTCTTTATTCATTAAATTAGCATGCTTCATACAATGTATATTATCATGGCCGTAAAATAAAATTGACTTGAAATAAATCTTTATGACAGGTTTCAAATATCTAATATCAAATAATTTAGTCACCGCAATGCTCATGTGAATGGACACATTGAAACATTATTGCGGAATATTTGGATCACTTTCAACAAATGATTATCATGATGAAATAGATATAGCGCATATTATATATTTAGGGTTAGTTTCTTTACAACATAGGTATATATATATTTATTTACCATATAATTTCTAAAAAATAATAAAATAAGAGGGCAGGAATGTGCTGGAATTGTAACATCTTTTGGTGGAAGTAATGACATGAAAGTTTTAAAAATTAAGGGCCTTGTTTCTCATACAATTACCTCCGAGAATTTGACTGGGTTAAATGGACATTATGGTGAACTTTATTTAAGATTATAAGTACAATTTTTATAGGTATTGGCCATACTAGATACTCTACACAAGCTGGTACAGATATGATAAATTGTCAACCTTTTGTGGTTCATACAACATGTGGACAAATTGCTATAGCCCACAATGGGGAGTTGATGAATGCTAAAAAATTGCGCAAAAAAGTATTGGAATTAATGAGAACAATATTATCATACATTTAGATAGTGTTGTTAAGAACCTTGATTTCACACATACAGTAAGAATATTAGCTCCCAAAATCTATATAAATAAATAATATATATTTTAATAGAATATTGAATTTGAAAAAAAAAATAATATTTAATAATAATTAAAATGCATATTTTAATGGAACACTGAATTTGGAAAAATATAATTATACATAATAATTAATATACAGTTTTAACAAAATAATTTTAATTTAATTCTCTTTTGGCAACATTTATTGGATAAACTAAATACCAGACTATATTTGTTAGTCTCTATTATTGGCATCAAAATTAGGGAAAATATATAGAATAACTAACTATCAAACTTTCCAAACCTTCCTACGAATAGATTAAAAAGCTTTTGTTTTCACTATTCAAAATGTGATCCATAATTTTTATATCTAATTTTATATTACTGAGAGAATTCATAAAAAAGGTTATATTACAAATTGGTTAACAGTTGAAAACATGCATAAGTCATAAATTTTAAACCTTAAACTATCAGCCATCTGAAAGATTAATTTTTATAAGATTGTAATAAATATATGTTTTATTTTAAAATGTAACAATTCTATTTCTGCAAAATATTTTAAAATATAATACTTATCGGTTGTGTTTAATTTATGATCATAATATCTGTTTTTTACAGATAAATACACATTAAAAATTAAATATGGGTCATTACATTACAAATCATGCAGTGTTTGGATGATCATCTCTAAAATGAACAAACTTAACATGATAGTTATATATATTTTAGTAAAATCAAAATTTTATAGCTCATATATTTTAGTAAAATCAAAATTTTATAGCTCAACCATATCCAAAGATATACACATAAGTCAAAAATCACACAATATGTGATTTTATTAAATTTAAAAAAAAAAAATTACTTAAGACAGAGTTACAAATTATATATCATTTATTAGCCCTTAAAATTTAACATTGGAAAATATTAAAAAATATAAATTATTTTATTTAATAAAAATATAAGATTATAGAAGATATTTTTTGGGGTGCTGATATTTGTTTATATTTAACTGATTAATAAAATAAAATCAAAGCGTTTTTTAAATTTTATTCTATATTATTTTTAGGTTACACCAATATATAATATCGAGATCTATAATATTGAAAACATTAAAAAAAACAATAAATATATGGAGGAAAAGCCATAATTTTGAATTTCAGTTATGAGAAGTAGACAGACTCGTTTATAAATATTCGTTTTTATTTTCATAATTTGCTTGCCCCACATAACAATATTATTACCCATAATTTAGTATTATTATGTGATAAGAATAAATGGAAAATATTGTTACCAGATTAATATTGAAAAGTGTTTTGGAACAAAATATATTATCACCACCACACAATGATAATCTTTTAGAAAATGTCTAAATTAAAACTTCAACCTTAAACAAATAAAAATTGGATCCAGTACATAGGGATGTAAAATTCTCCATAAAATTTATTGGGGAAAATAATGTAGAAATTAGTGAAAATAACCCCAAAAATACATCTTACTGTTCTATATTTTTTATTGAATAAGTACTAAATTTGTAGAAATAATGCAAAAATAAAAATGCACTCATTATAATTTTTTTATTGAATAACTTTATTAATTAGCAATAAAAAGCCTGTATTATAAATATATATTTAAAATTCATAAGATGTAATTGAAATAGCATCATTATAATATTATAGATAAACCAGAATCCTTGATCTTTTGCTAATATTTTGAACATGATGCCCAATTTGTGTGTTCCTTTAAATGTTGATTATATCTGATAGATATCAATTTTGGACTCTCGTACTTTATGCTATTTAGTTTTAGAAATAAACCTTCCCAAAAGCTTACCAAACTTTCTGATGCATTTGAGGATGGTTATGGTAAAGACCACTTACTTACTACCACTTAGGCCTATTCAAAAAAAATTATAATATCGAATAATTACGAATACAAATTATTTGTTTTATCCGAATATGAATAATTATTTATTCGATTCGTAAAATACGAATTATTCGGAATATTTAATAAATTGATTTAATAATCTAAAATTTGTCATTTCTATTTGATAAACTTCCAATCTGAGAGGTGATGTGTTTAAAAAAAGACTAGCACAAATTTAAAAAATCTCTGAAGTGAAAATGAAAGCAATATTTAAATTTTTATATGCCATATTTTTTGAATCTCATGATAAATTATATTAAAAAATTATACAAATTATAGGTATATAAAAATATAATACATTTCTACAATAAATTATTGTTAGTAGCCTAAATATGTTAGAGAAGAATGCTTCTGATGAAATAGTTATGCTTGATGTTGACAAAATTTCCTCACAAAAAAAGCGATTATATGGGATCAATAAAGATGGTGAAAAGGCTCTTTTTTTTATCATTAAATTATTGATTACATATTTTTTATTATCAGATTATTATAATAATTTTTTCTATTATCAAATTTGCAATAAAAATATATTTGAGTATGATATATTTTATTAAGAAAATTCATTTCAATTATACAAATAATTGGAATCAAATAAAAATATTTAAACGAATCGAATATGAATAATGCACTATTCAATTCAAATTCGTTTTTGAATAGGCCTACTACCACACAACAGTTGATTTTTATACCACCATTTCTGCTTTATCAAAGGGTTGATATGGTTCGAGCTCTCCCATATGCTATTTTCTTTATGGAAATCTTCTTTTAAATGATATTCTGCTAAATTGCACATAATTTTCCCAATATTGCAATAATTGGCCTAAAATTTTAAGTGTAAGGCTACTGATACACAGTCTGATAATTTCAAGCCATAATATCAAGGATCCATAAGCTTTTTTGCCAAAGATATTCTTGGCACAAAATATTTATCTTTTACCACAAAATATTTCCATTAGGGGTGTACACACATTTTGGAGGTCAATCTGGTCTGATATTAACAATATTAAATGTGGCCTTTTACTTATCCAATTGATTGTGTTCTTTTTACTTTTTACATATTTAATTACAAAATATTTATATTAATAAATCATTTATTTCTATAATAATTACATTATAAATATATTCATATATTAATATATTTACTAAATGTACTTAAAAAAAATAATTATTAAAATTAATATATCTAAGATTTCTTTTCAGGCTAAAATTTCTAGAATATCACTAGCTTCACTAAAAACAGATTCAGATGATACACAGGTGTTGATATTGATGAGTAAGTTTAGAAAGATATTTATGGCAGTTCACAGCCCTATATTTTAAAGGATCTGCTGGGATATTATCATTTATTGCTTTGAATATTGGTTCCTTGAGATAATTTTTAATTTTAATGGAATACCGGCAATTTTTGATGGTATAATTAAATTAGAATCTTCATTTGCTTTAATAGTATCAGCTTAAGATCTCCACACACTAAATATGCCAGTTGAATTGGTTGCTGATATTGATGGAATTTCTTCATGTCCATATTTAGATTTTTATACTATATAAATAATAAAAAACTAAATAAATAAATTTTTTACATAGATTAGGTGAATTTATTACCTCACAAAAACTGCTGTTAATGCATTCTAGAGGTCGTTTTTTTATATAAAGCTATGATTGTATTGTAAAAAAAATTGCTTGAAGTGGTCCAAATTTGTCGATAGGAAGTAAATTTTTCCATTATATATATAAGAAAAACATATAGTGATTTTTATATATCGCATCATTCATATAGCCTGAACACCTGTATTTTGCTTACCATGATTAATAAGTTTTTTTAAAAGTAATTCTACGAATGGAACCACATATTGATTCATTTTCTCCACCAATTTCTTTTGTAATGTGCTGAATTAATAATAAAGTCAGCTGGAAATTTTTTAAAAATGAAGTCGCCATTTTATTAGATCGTAACTACAAATTTAATAATATTGGCCTAAAACCTATATTTTAAAAAAGATGAATAATTGGCCGAATTATTCGATAAAAAATGTCGCATCCCTAATTACCACTTTATCGAGTCAGATACAATGACTATAATTATAATTTTGTAATAAATAAATTCCAAAAAAGCAAATACTGCCTCTTATATATCCCGTATCTTTCATTGTCCAATAGATTATTCCATCTTTGTATATATATAAATTTGAAATTGCTATTTCTTGCATATATTCCTTATTTTTCACATTTTTCAACTCTATAATCATCCCTTATCATCATGTTAGACTTGGAATTTTTAAAGAAGATTCATGTCATTTGGATAGTTTTCCTTAAAAACTTCCCATTAAATTTTATATATCTAATAATTCGTTTGATTTTTTTAATGCTTTTTGCATTAATCTTTAATAAGCAGATTTAGGCCATATGTGGCATGGCTAGACCTATACGCCGCCGACCACGCCGGTGCCGCCAGCAATTTTATTTACCCCGTAACAGCCGCCGATTGAGATCATCGGCGTGAGTCGGCTTGCCGCCAATTTTTTTATGGCGGCGCGGCGTGTATAATTTTTAGAATGCTGTTTAATTATATTTATATATTAAATTATTATTATTTAAATTTGAATATTAACATTAATATAATTAACATATGAATTGTATTCTATTGCTATATATAATAGAATAGTGTATATAATTTACATATATTCATTTATCGTATTTTATTTCCACAAACAATACATATTGATTATTTTTATGGACTTGCACGTTTTAAACTACCCTATATACAATTCTGAAATAACAACTCTCTCTACTAATCATAAATCAAGTTATGTCTGGAGGTAATTTGGAAATCTTTTTTAAAGAATGAAAATAAGAAAAGCACAATAAATAATGCCTGATTATATTTATTGTGAACCTTGCTTAAAATTGGGGAAAAAAGATCAGGAAGATTCGGATAAACATAATCAATTTTATTGATATTCTTAAAAAAATTAGGGAAATTATTTCAGCCCTAAGATATCGAGTAGCTGATTTGGAATGTGAAATTGAGGAAGAGCATCGTAAATGTCTGCAGTCTATTTATGAGACAGGTCATATCTTGGATATTGATGATTCTGATCCATACTTTGATGACCATTTTGATATATCTGATGAATCGGATAATAGAAATGGCATTGCACCAACCAATCTAATTAACAGAAACTTTAAAATTAAATTGCCCTACCCACTGGCACAACATTAATTATGCTAGAAAGTGTTCGTAGTGTAAATAATGTTCCAAATAAAATAGGAAAACAATCTTTAATAATGAATGGAATATGATTGATGAGCTTTACGCAGTATTACATCCCCGAGAGTTGGTGTACTTTCTTTCTTCCCAAAAGGGATTGACAATAAACGTAGGGTTATTATTTCGCAGTGAAATAGAAACCCTACAAAGCAATAGATCTGATTGCTCAGATATTATTTGCTTAAAAGAAAATATTTTAAAAAAGCTTGACCATAGGTTTCCCATTACTGAACTTCAAGTTATTTTATATTTTTATTAATAAAATTATATTTTAAACATTAGATATTAGCGACTCTACTTGATCCCAGATTTCAAAATCATAAAATTCAGAATATTTAAATTCGAATTTTACGACATCATTGCAATTTTTAATTAGACATTTAAAACTTTTAGAGCATGATAGAAATGCACAGAATGAATGAGATTCAAGTTGAAGATAATGGGCAAACATCCAGTTCTTATACAGCTAAAATAGCCTGTAAACATTACCTTCCAAGCAACCATTATAACAACATTAGTAATCTAGAACAAGAATGCCATATTTTGCTCAGCAAATATAATATCCCAGAAGAGGATGCACATAAACCTTTTGGAAGAAAAAGCGACGAAAACTTCCTAGATTGGTTAATTTAGCTAAGAAGGTTTTTTGTATACCTGCAAAAGAATTTTTTTCATTGCTGGATTATACTCAATGCAAAAAGGACTTCTTTATGTCCCACCAATCTTGATAAAATACTATTTATTCATGACAATTATAATTTTGCTGAATCTGAATGATATATTATATTTCATACCTTATATTTTGCTTGCATTCCAAATTTATATTTTAATTTGTTATAATAAAAATTAATAGAATATTACTAATGTGTGTTGTTTATGTGACACTGATCTGAGTAAAAATGCAATTTCTTAGTTTAATTCTGAGAATGAGAAATTACATAAATTTAAATTGGAGTAAGAGAGGAAATAATTTAAGAAATGAATTAAACTATGTTAACAATGTGTTAGAAAAGAGCGCTCAAATAAATTATAAAAAAATGTAATACTTTGATTTATAAATTAAATTCATTAAAAAATACATTGATTTATAAAAAAATTTAAAATAAATATCGCGCCCCGTGGTCGACAATTTTAAGGCGGTGGTGATATCGGCGCGCCACCAAACGCTGATGAAAAAATTAAAAAATAACGCCGCCGTCGATTCAGACATCAGCGCACTGGTCTAGACATGGCCAAAGCATTCAATATAAATATTTTTTGCCTCAATAAGACTCCAGGCCCTTTTCATTTTTTTTGCATTATTATAAAAGTGGTTTGTCCAGTCTAATAAGAGTGAAATTTTAAGTATCTAATTTGTTATTGATAATATTCGTTAACTTCTATTCAAAATCGAATGAAGTCTTGCTAATTGTGTATCTTGATGGAATTTTATAGGTTAGGCGCATAATTTTAAAAATTTATTAAATATTTATTTTCTATCAATTAAAAACGGGCAATTTGGCATAAAAATTGATAGTGTCAAAGCACGATAGAGTTCTCGATTTTCTTGAGTTATAATGTCAACTTTTTAATTTAGATATTGGTCTTCTCTTTAAAGGTATTAAGAGTGGCTTTATTTATGTTAGCTTGGGATATTATTTTATTAGGAATACTGGAAACCGGTAGACATATAATATCCTCATCGGTCAAATTATTAACATCAATCTAACTATATATAAATTGTTTATATACCTTTGACATTTTTTAATATGCTAAGATATCTTTGTGGAATTTGAAAAATTATGTTAAGTGTTTCTAGATGTTGTAAGTTTTTCGAGACATTTTTAAAATATTGTAATAATATTTAGTTAAATTAGACATTTATAAGTTATTATAATACCAGTTATGTATGTATGATTGATATATATTCAACTCTATATAACTAGTGATGTAAAAATGTAGGGAAAATATCCTTTACATTTTTGCCAGTTCATCTTTACAAGTATATATCAGAGACCTGCAGACCCGGCCCTAAGCCTGACCTGATCCGGGTACACGGGCTGGGCCATATTTTAATTTTTTATACCCAGGCTGAACCGGGTCTTAATTTTTTTTAAATACACGGGCCGGTCCTAAAAACATTTTTAAAAATAAAACCAAATATTTTAAATCATCAAGTTTGCATGCCTATCTGCCATAAATTATATATTCCCGATTCCTATTTTCTTTATCCCTTCCCTTTTATTATATAGCTCTATTAATTTTACTTTAATTAAAAAATGTTTTCCCTATGGCACTACTGATGTTCCCGCTTAATAGCTACCACCAGAGACACTTTAAATATTGCAAAATAGCACATTTATATTACGAAGTTTTGAAAATCCTTATTTTCTTTACCAACTGTCAGAAATCATCTATAGAAATAAAGTCTGAGATATTAAATGCTTCTCGCTTTCTAATAATGTGTTTTTAACAGAGCTACGCTAGTTATACGTCATTTCCATTAGATTCTATATTAAAAGGATTTGGGAAAGATTACACGAGGAGCCCTTTGCACTAGTGGGCAGGTTACACGTATCTGGAGGCCAAAGAAAATTATATGCCTAGGAATTTCGATTCTTTAAAAATTATTATTTTAAAAAGGGGGTGGGGGTGGGGAACGGCTTATTTTAATTTTTTACTACTATACATCTATGTTTGTTATGTAATATATTGATTTATATTTAGAAATACAATTATCTTGTTATCATTACAAAAATATTTAAGTAAAAAAAGTTTATCTTGTGTTGAAAGTATGTGGAAAAATAACATCATTAAGTGAGAACACGGGGAAATACGAAATATCAATATAATCTAAAAGAGTTCTAGTGGGGATTTTGAATACATCACAAATTGCAATATAATATATGTACATTAAATTGATAAATCTTCCCGATCAATCCCGTCTTCATCTAATATAATGCCTTCTTCACTCCAAACCGCACACAAAGAAACTTTTATTGTTCTTTACCAAAAACCCATGTGATGATTTTGTTTCACTCCCATCCACAAGGAAACATTAATCCTCCTGTCAGAAAATAACTGACATTTAATATAATATTTTAAATTCATTTCTTCTTTTTTTCAACGGCTACAACACCACCCTTCACAAGCCCAGCGTCCCTCTCTCTCTGGTGGTATTGTATCGAATCGTCCCTTTGAATTGTATCAACTTTCGGTACGCCTTGAAAACGTTCAGGGAATTTATCTAATCGACTCCTTTTATGATGATTTATAATATAATATCTCCAGTACATTACAATATATAATCGCTGGAAAACATGTTATCATAATGATATTTACATCGTGGTATCCATATTTATAATCTATGGAACATTAATATTGACAATGTAATATCAGCAAAACATAATAATTCATTCATTTTAAGACATTTGGGAAATAGGAGTTATAATATACATTATTCGGGGTCTGATTAATTAGAATGAGGAAATAATGATTTTACATATAATACTGTAATGTGAACAAATGGTTTATGTGTGAAATGCAATTTCAACCACATGTAATTTTCCTTATGTCATGTAAAAAAACAAAGCTACATTTTTTATAATTATCTCCTAAAATAGATATAAAAATCCATTTTTAGGTATTAAAAATAATTACGAAAATTTTCAGAACAAATATTTTAACAAAATTACAGGACATATGTACAGAAATAAATTTAATATTTTATAGGGAGGAAAAATATATAATGTGTAGAAAATATAATATTTTTTATCTAGGAATTACTCAGTATCCTAAGAAAAATATACCATTTCTACCTAACTCTGCCATCACAATTTATATTACAATTTTTTAAACAAAAGGGGGTAATGAAAATATCATAAATCAGAATACTGTTCTAATATTTAATGTAAACTTTTTCATTACAATCATTTTCATATAACTCCCTTCAAATTATATTTTGACCAGCCCGATTTTATTTATTTTTAAACCCATGCCCAAATTTAGATATTTGGCCCAAGCTCGCAGAATTTTCAATTATAAAATTTATATTAATTTTTATAAAGTTACATAGAATAAGAATCAATATAAAAACAGAATTTTAAATGAATTACTATTTATTTTACTAAAACAAGAGGAAGTTTGAGCTTAGCCTGGCCCGATTTTAAAGTAAATAAATTAAGATTTCACTTAGCTTTGGGCTCTTACATAGGACTTTATATCTTATAATACTTTAAACAACCATATTTTTAGATACAAGTTAGAGGTGTTGGCTTATCAACATCATCTGACAGTGAATTAATTGCTCAACTTCTTTCCACACCAATGTGTTCTGAAGAAAGTTACTCAGATCCAGATTGGAAACATCGAATAATTAATTTTATGAAGGGTTTAATTAATTTTTTTCCTTAATTATAATTATATCAATTTTAGAAAGTTTAATTAGTTATTCCCTTCTATTATTACACGAACATTCTATATGGGCAGTAAGGGATCCTTTTGGTAATAGGCCTTTATGCATTGGAAAAATTGACGATGAATTAGATGCAAGTATATAGATATTTTATAATTTGTTTTTTATTGCAGATACTACAGATAAGAATGATATTTCAAAGCATAAACCATTAAGTTGGGTAATAGCATCCGAATCATGCTCCTTTGGGCCTATTGGCGCAAAGTGATTATTATAGATGTCACAAATATCTATTTAATTTCAAGGTATTATCGTGAAGTTGAACCTGGGGAAATAGTTAAAATCACAAGAACAGGAGTGCAATCTGTATATATAATGAACGCTATAAATAATCCTGATCTCAATATTTATCCCGCTTTTTGTTTATTTGAGTATATATATTTTGCTAGATCTGATTCTCTTTTTGAAGGTTTATATATATATACTTTGCCTATATTTTTAAATTTTGTGATAAATATAAAATTGTAATCACTAATAATAGTCATAAATTAAATGTTTACTCTATTTCTGTTAATTTTTTCTTAATATACATTATTAATTTATATTTATAAATCATTATTAAGGTCAACTAATATATTCTGTAAGGTATAAATGTGGACAGGAATTGGCCAAGGAATGGCCTGTTTTACATGCTGATCTTATTAGCACAGTTCCTGATTCAGCCACTCCTGCTGCTCTAGGCTTTGCACAAGAAGTAAAATTTTATTTAAAATATTCTCATATATAAATAATACATATAATTTTGGCGTTATTTTAAAGGATTGATATCTTACAGGATGTAGTTTATAAAATGTTTTAATTATGAAGATTGTATATATTCCATAACTCAATCAAATTGTATAAAGAATATAATTTATAAAATATAAATTCAAAAGAGAATTATTTTTTTTTTGTTTCACTGAGTTGGATTTTTTTTTTGAAAATGTTGGCTTCTTTTTCCATATTCTAATCATATATGCCCGACGCCACCTCATAAAATCTGGAATATTTTTTTAATCGGCTAGAGATATTTGAATTAAATTTGCAGGTTAGGATTAGAAAAATAACTAATAGAAATTCTAATAATTCACACGATTGTACTTAAGTAATTATCAGAAATATATTTAAAGAATCAGTCATGTTTTCTCACTTATTAAAATAGGATTAATCTTAATAAAAAAATTTAGACCGCATTTATTATAAATTATTTATAAACATGTATAAGTATAAAAACCATTATTAAAAAGTTGTATAAAAAAATTATGGATTTAATAATTGTGTACCCAAAAAGGAACCATAATTACATTTTTTCTATTTGTATTTTTTGTATATAGAAATCCTTTCGCTTCTTTGGTGAAATGTGTAACTTTGCCGCCAGACTTTTTAAAAACTTAAATGTTATAGGTGATAAAGAGCTATTATTTGATGTGACTGTTGAAATGAAAATAAAATCCTATTTGATTGGTCAGTACCAAAGTAAACTCCCAAAGAGGAGGTGATGTTTAACAATATACCTTAATAAAGATTTTTTTATGAGCAAAATTTTGAAGTTTAAATTAAAAAAGATTTGAAAATAACATTTATTTTTATACATAAAATTTACAAAAGATAAGTTTTTTTTTGAATTCTGAGGAAAATTTTGCATGACCATGCTCAATTAATATTTTCCATTTTGAGTAAGAATTTTTGGAAACTCCGGGTCGTATACAATGGTAATGTTAAATTAAACAAAACTTTATAAAATAAAATTTTTGTAATAATTTAAAATGCAAAATTAATCGAATATGAATTTGCTGACTATTTATATTTTATACTCGCAAATGTGGCACGTATACTAATAATTTTTTTTACAAGACAATATTATGCCGATTTATAGTTGAACTAAAAAGACGTCTAACCCTATTTGTTAGCCTAAAACTAATATTTTAGCTTCGGTAGTTTTTCTTGAACATATCGATGAATTTTGAAAAAAGTAGGATAACACGCGCCTCAATGCCTAGCGGATTGACATAAATGATAAGCATATGCCAGATCATTCTTTCTTTACATCACCCCACCCCCCCCCCCCCCCTCCCCATCAAATGATGATATATTCTTCAACATAATTAATAAACCTTTTTTAAATATTTTTTCTCCCATACCGCATAACCTACGTGATAGAGCGGTGTGCCCTACTTGGAAGTTCTTACGAAAAATCCTTACATCGGTCGGACTTTTATACAACCCTCTACTCGTTTGAGAAAATTGAGCGTGTCCAAAAAATTTGGCGTTCTATCAGGTTCATAAATCTCCAATTTTTACTTTCTCGTCATGCATAACATTTTACAAGCGTTGATACAGGGGAGGGGAAGGGTTTACTTAATGGGACTTTAAATATTTGATTTAGAAGGGTTGGTTTAAGAAAAGGTTTATTTATTTTTCCACAGTCAGTCATAGTTTTATTTATTGATGGGGGAGGGGGTTAATTTGAAGAAATGCACTCTTGGAATTTGTAGTGGAGAAGGTAGTGTTGTTAAACGACTTAGTCGAAAACTGAGTCTAAGTTTTGGGTCGAAAAAATCAACCCAAACTGACTTGAGTTATGAACTCGAGTCGTGAACTCAAGTCGAGATTTCAAATTAGTTTTTATTTTAATTAACAATACAATTATTTTTTTAATTTAGACTTCCAACTTGAGTAAGTCGTGAATAGAAATTACAAGCATTAATTATTATTTATTTATTTTTAGTAAAATAATTTATTTTATTTATATTTAAATATTTATTATATTTTAAAGAAATGATATAATTTAATATTTTTTATTTTATAATATATTAAGAAAATGAATATTTATTTGATATCTTTTAATAAAAAAATGATAAGCTGCAATGTAAGTTAAGTAATATCATTTTTGTTACAATTAATTAATGATTTTCACGCCCAAATTTTAAGCAAAATTTGATTTGAATTTTAAATGATTTTTTTTTGTTAATAAACTTTTTTATTAATTCTTTTGTAAATTTTATTTAAATAAACAATTTTTTAGTCGAATTCTTTTATTTATATAGGTTTATTTTTATCATTTTGTAAAATTATCTATTTTTTTAGTATATAAGAACTAGTTTAAATAATTTATTTTTAAATATTTATAACTTTTATAAGCTATTTTCCATGATCATCTCTGTGATAATTGTCATGTTATTTTTTAACATTTACGAAATCTTTGACAGAAAAGGATAAAAATATAATTTATATTATAAAGATGTTAAATTATAAATTCAATGATGATGTTCCTTTCTAAAAATGACAATTATCATAATCTGTATTTTTAAACATATTAGTTTATTTTTGACGCTAATGGGTAAAAACATGTAAATATGTTAAATTAAAATTTTAGTGAAGATGTACCCTAGATAAGTGACAATTGTCATAATCGTTAATACTAAAGTTTTTTGAATTTTTTTGACGCAAATGGGTAAAAATATAAATTGTAAATATGTTAAATTAAAATTTCAGTGATAGATAAGTGACAATTGTCAAAATCGTTATTTCTACAGTTTTTTGAAATTTTTTTGACGCACATGGGTAAAAATATAGATTGTAAATATGTATAATTAAAAATTCGATGAAGATTTATCATAGATAAGTGGCAATTGTCATAATCGTTATTTCTAAAGTTTTTTGAAATTTTTTGACGCATATAGGTAAAAATTTAGATTGTAAATACGTTTAATTAAAAATTCGATGAAGATGTATCATAGATAAGTGACAATTGTCATAATCGTTATTTCTAAAGTTTTTTGACGTAATAGATATGTGACTAATCGTTATTTTTTAACTTTTTTGAATTTTTTAAAATAAAATAGGTAAAAATATATATTGTAAAGATGTTAAAATAAATTCAGTGAAGATAGAAGAGTGACAATAAGTGATCTGCATCGGGCCTTATTTTTCAAGCCCGGCCCGGCCCCCGTTAGAAAAGTTTTGCCGGCTCGGCCAGAACCCGAAATTTTTTTAAAAAAAATTTACCGACTCAGCCCGGCCAGAATTTATTTAAATATAGAAATTAATCAAAATAAAAGACATATTATATGTAGTTTAGTTTCAATAAATAAAATCAAATATTTTTATTTGACATAAAAATTCAATATAAAATTTATAAATTTAGATATATTTAAAAAAAATATCCAAGGTCCGACCGGACCCGGCCCGAATTTTTTTAAAAATATTAGGCCCGACTCGGCCCGAATTTTTTTTTTAAATATTAGGCCCAACCGAACCCGATTATTTTAAATAGGGCCGGATTAGGGCCGGGCCTAACTGCAGATCTCTAGTGACAATTGTCATAAACGTTATTGTTTAACTTTTTTGAATTTTTTTGAAGTAAATAGGTAAAAATATATATTGTAAATATGTTAAATTAAAATTTCAGTGAAGATGTACCATAGAAAAGTGAGAATTGTTATAATCGTTATTTGGAACTTTTTTGAATTTTTTCATAGAAAATAAGTAAAAATAAATATTATAAACATGTTATATTAAAATTTCAGTGAAGATGACCATAAAAAAGTGTCAATTGTCATAATCATTATTTATGAACCTTATTGAAAATTTTTAAAGCAAACTTGTAAATATATATATTGTAAACATGTTAAATTAAAATTTCAGTTAATCATTATTTAAATTTTTTTTGCCCAAATGATCTGGTTTTTAGCCCACGCCCTTCTATCAAATTGGGCTGACTAGCTAAATAATTTAAAAAGTGCTAACGGACCTTTGAAAAATTTTAACAATGGGCAGACTAATAAACAACTTTTATTTGTTATTTAAAATTTATTAGGTAAACATTAAAGAATATATTCTTCATAACTTTTTTTAAAATACCAGATTATCGATAACTGTTGTGGATGTTATCGTCGGAAAAATTAATGAGATAAAAAAAACTTGTTGGATTTGATTTGAAATTATAGTGTCGTAGTATTTCGTCCTATAATTGATCAAATTATAAACATCAGAACGGTTTTCTGCAAAAAGAGAGTTTATTTTGAATGTGCAATATTATCCTAGGCATTTTGATAAAAATAATAGTAAAGGTATTTCTGAAAAGGCCTTGAAAAAAGTGACACAACAAATATATTGAATGTTAAATAACGTAACGAATTGTGTTCATTTGCCTGTGAATTCAAAGATTTAATAGCAGAATTAAATGAAACGGACGATGATATCGTATGAGCAGGTGAGGAGTCTAATGAAAAAGTAGAATAAGATAATAACTCAGAATGTGAATTGTGATAATAAATGTAACAATTGATTAATATGCCTGTATGAAATTCTTAAGATACAATATGCACACAAGTGCATACACTAATTTATTTTTCACATATGCATACATTTCTTTATCATTTACTCAAGTTAATTGCGAGAGAACATTTAGTACATTATAAAAAATAGGCTGAGAAATAATATAGACGAGAAAAATTAGGATCGTTTTTAATGTTAGTTGTGAGCAGTGGCGTAGGCATGGGGGGGGGGGGTTAAGGGTTCAAATCCACCCCTCTCCCAATAAAAATGAAAAATAATTTAATAAATTCTTAAACGCTTGATTTTTATGTTTTAAATTTATTATAAATAATAATAGATATACACATTTGATTATTTTTATATTTATTTTTGGTTTGCAGCTATTTCACACCACCCCAAAAAAGGGAGTTATTTATTCAAACGTATCATGATATTGACTCAAAAAATCAAAAAAAAACTAAAAAGATTTTGTCCGACCAGATTCATCGAAAGACAAGAGTCGGTGAAACTCTTTATTGAAATATATGATGTTGTCTTTGCAGCACTAGAATTTTATATATCAAGCAAGGAAAAAGATTCAGCGGATGCCGAAAATCTTTTGCAGGCTATTATTAAGCCACAATTTTTAATTTCAATTCAATGTGTTTATTTTTTATTTAATTATACATATGATTTTAGCAAAATGTTACAAAAGATTGATTTGGATTTAAGGGAGATTATGAATAGAGCAAAGGATATTGTTGAAATATTAACAAATATCAGAGAGAATGTGGATGAAAAATTTCATGAAATATATGAAAAAGTAAAGATTGCTAATATGTTTGGAATTGAAATTTTTAAACCTAGAGTAGTCTCTAGACAATCCAATCGATCAAATATCGATGCATCTACGATTGAGGATTTTTATAAAATAAACATTTTTATTCCCCTTATTGATACATTTTTATTTCAATTAAAAGAAATATTAGTCATAATTATATTTTAAAAAGCTTTTATTTTCTTCTGCCGGTTGAGTCTAAACTGTTGATTACACTTGCAACAAGAGATGATATTAAAAAAATCTCAGTTTTATGCTGATAATTTAGTAGGTTCATATGATAAGTTACTTTGTGATGTCGAATTTTGGTATAAAAATCTTGACAGAATAGGGTATTCTTTGAGACCCAAAAATGCTCTGCAGGCCCTTTCCATATGTAATTGCATTTTAGATTCCCTGCCTAATATCAAAACATTAATTATTTTAGCTACCTTGCCAATTAGTACATACACTAATGAAAGGTCTTTTTCAACTTTAAAAAGGTTAAAAACCTATTTAAGAAACACAACTGGTGAAAAATGTTTAAATGGATTAGCCCTATTGAATATTTATAAGATTATTTTAGATAAAAATGTGATTCTAGATGAATTAGCAAAATCTCAGAGAAAAGTAGATCGCTCTTTTAAAATTCAAATCAAAAAATAGCAATAAAATTTTATTAGTTTTAATATATAATCAATTTTTTTTTGTAAAAAAGTATTATTTATAAGATAATATTATCATATTTTTTAAATACCATTATTTGCATAATAATTACACATATTTTATATAATTGTAAAAAATTACTTTTTTAAAAATAGAGTTTTTATACATTATAATTTTTAATATTAAAATCTATATTATATAAAATATCAACATTTTGAAAGTATTTTAATTAATAAAATATATACATTATTAAATAAAGGAATGTAAAATATATAATAAAATACCCTAAAATTTTGTTATATGAAAATATAAAACAATTATAACAAATCCAAAAATATAAGCAATTAAGTGTTCAAAAAATGGAAAGTTTGGTGGGCTTCGCCCCCCAAAAAATTTTTAACCCCCCCCCCCCCCCATGATAAAATCCTGGCTACGCCACTGTGTATGAGAACTTTTAGTGGAGATTGAACTAAAAGATATTCTTGTTTATTTGCGCAAAGGTTCAAAATGAGATTTATCAACGTAAAAATTATATATTATCTTAATTCTTTTTTTTAAAAATCATGTAATACATTTAAAAAATAAATAAATATTGTTATTTTAAATTTTTTTTAAATTTTTTTAAAATGGTATTTTAAAAAAAATAGGAACGCTTTTGAACACAAAAAATTTGGATCATTTTGCATGATAATAACAAATAATATGAGTAAATAATAAAAAAAATTTTTTATATTATCATAAATATTTTGATCATTTAAATCGAATATTTTTTTATGCTTACTAAATTATGAAATTTTTAGTAAGGGTGTAGCGTTGAGACTGAACTTTTTTTAAAATAAATTTTAAAATAACTTACTGGTGCCATCGAGGCGCTATAATCATTGAAATTTAAGAATAAATATATAAATAATACATTTTAAATTGAAATAATTTAAAGAACCAAAAAATCTTGCTATTGTTACAAATTTTAAATAACAATGGGAGAGAGAGACGGGGGAGGGATTGGTCATTTATTTTCTATTTTAATCTTTATTTTTCCGATCTTTTCTCAATTTTTTGCAATAATTAATTTTGATAAATAAATTTATAAGTGAGTGCTCATGGCATATTATATTAATATGGATGGAAATTTTATGTCCCCAAAAAAATTTCTGCAATTATATATCAGTACTCCCCCCCCCCCCCCCAACACAAAATCTTACGAAAAAATAAAAAATATTCGAAATAATATTATCATGTTAAATTAAAATTTCTAGAATTGTTAAATTATATATTTTTCTTAAATTCCGGTATGTACAACAAAAATTACTTATATTTTATTATAATTATATATATTTATTATTTTTATAAATACAGTATTATTTTTATTATAATATATATTTAAGCGAAATAAATATTTTAATATACTTGATTTAATATATTTTTAAGTTGTACATGTAAACTATTTGTATATATTGGATAAGTATTCTGTATTATTTACTTTTATATTTGTATGCCTAATAAAAATTTTTAATATTAAATTATTTATATTTGTTTTTTCAATTAGGGGATCATATTATAATCAGAGGATGATTTACCATTTGTGTCAAAGTACCCATAGAAAACTACAAAAGCTAGGTCTGGAAAGCCAATACAGAACCGATGAAGCCCTAAGCTTCTTTTGTGGCATGAGGGACGGCTTAGCATTTGTTCCTTTATGTGATATGGGCAATGCAATGGCATTCCTGAGATCAGTTACTCCGACCAATGGTAAAGATATTCTTGAATATTTCGATAAAAATTACATCAATAGAGTCAAGGGAGGTCACAAGAAGCAATTCTCAATTTCAGACACGTTGAATTGGGCCTCGATTTCCTCCAGAAACTTGGAACGTGAATGAGAGCACCCTATCTGATGAAGAACCCACAAATAATCAATGCGAAGGTTGGGATCATCATTTTTCATATCTGGTTGGGAATAAACGCCCATAAATTTGGGTATTGATTAATAAAATGTTGCTGCCGATGAAACCAAACTTGAACGATGGCGTGTAGGTAGTTGGACACCAAAACAAAATCGCAGAGTTATAATACCCAGATTCGGTTAAAGAAACTTTGCGAGGAATACCGTGATAGGGTGCAAAGCCTTCCAGATTAAATTTTATGAGGGCGATTTTCACCTTTATTTGATGTCAACCGATATAATTATTATTCTAAATTATTAAATTTGTATATACATAATGATTTTTCAATTAAATAAACAGATTTATTGCAAATTTTGTCAAATTTAGTCAACTTAATATAGTAATTAAGGATGGATATTGTATTTATTACTATAGCAAATAATTTATACGAAAATTAATAATACATGGGTTATTTTACTGGGGTATTTTTTTGTCCCAGTACCAATTTGAACATCAGCATTTTTTATGGAGGGTATATGAGTAATCTTTAAGTAATGAATTGGGGCCTAAAAAAATTATTATTAAATTATATTTCTATAATAATTTTTTCTAAAATACTAATTTGCCTATACTTTATTAAATCCAAATAAAAATATACCGATATTAATAGGTCCTAACAGGAGGTTTTTATTTCGAGGTTTTTTTCGGGGGTTTTTTTCTGGGATTCGATATTTTATTATATGAAATTATTAATAATATTGACATTATAGGGGAAATGTGCCATGATTATGTTTTTGCCTTTTTTAAAAAAATTATTAAAAGAGGAAAAGATTTGTTTTGACTTTTAAAGAAAACATGGTACGTCTGATCAATTGCAAGAAAAATTTTTTTTGAGGAAGAATTATGAAAATCGATTTTGTGAAAAAAGGTTTAGTTAAACCCCCCCCCCCCCCCCCACATTTATTCTTAAATACTTTATATAAATAATTACAAATTCAGTATCGTTTTGTAATATTTTTTAAAGAAAATACATGTTCGCATTTTTTAGGCGTGGCGATTAAGTGTGTGAACCCCGGGTCTTTTCCAGAGGCTCGTGATCAGAGCTGGTTTAGTCAATTTTTGGACCCAAACCACGGGTCTGGGGGTTACACAACTAATCAATTAACAAAACTTAATCTTTTTTTATTTAAATAGTTTTCAAATCAATAAATTTATTTATACGTGTAGATTTATAAATCAATCTCCTTACTTTCAAATTTAAATGGTTATGCAATTAAAAAGTGTGCTGTCCTCCTCGCCTAATAAGATAAACTGGCGTAGGCTAAAAGTCACCTCGTTTTAACAAAAAAGTTCAAAAATAACGATTATGAACACTGTCACTTTTCTGTGGTATCTTCATTAAAATTTTAATTTAACATGTTTACAATATATATATTTACCAGTTTTCTTTTAAAAAAGTTCAAAAATAACGATTATGACAATTGTCACTTTTCTATGGTATATCTTCACTGAAATTTTAATTTAACATTTCTACAATATATATTTTTACCGATTTACTTTAAAAAAATTCAAAAAAGTTCAAAAATAACGATTATGACAATTGTCACTTTCTAAGGTATATCTTCACAGAAATTTTAATTTAACATATTTACAATATATATTTTTACCTATTTACTTTAAAAAAATTCAAAAAAGTTCAAAAATAACGATTATGACAATTGTCACTTTTCTATGGTATATCTTCACTGAAATTTTAATTTAACATTTTTACAATATATATTTTTACCGATTTACTTTAAAAAAGTTGTCACTTCTCTATGGTATATCTTCACTGAAATTTTAATTTAACATTTTTACAAAATATATTTCTGCCGATTTACTTTAAAAAAATTCAAAAATAACGATTATGACAATTGTCACTTTATATGGTACATTTTCACTGAAATTTTAATTTAACATATTTACAATATATATTTTTATCTATTTATTTTAAAAAAATTCAAAAAAGTTCAAAAATAACGATTATGACAAATGTCACTTTTCTATCATCTTCACTGAAATTTTAATTTAACATTTTTACAATATATATTTTTACCTATTTACTTTAAAAAAGTTCAAAAATAACGATTATGACAATTGTCACTTTCTATGTTATATCTTCATTGAAATTTTAATTTAACATATTTACAATATATATATTTTTACCTATTTACTTTAAAAAAAATTCAAAAATAACGATTATGACAATTGTCACTTTTCTATGGTATATCTTCACTGAAATTTTAATTTAACATTTTTACAATATATATTTTTACCGATTTACTTTAAAAAAATTCAAAAAAGTTCAAAAATAACGATTATTACAATTGTCACTTTCTATGGTACATCTTCACTGAAATTTTAATTTAACATATTTACAATATATTTTTACCTATTTACTTTAAAAAAATTTAAAAACTTTATAAACAACGATTATGACAATTGTCACTTTCTATGGTACATCTTCACTGAAATTTTAATTTAACATGTTTACAATATATATTTTTACCCATTTGCTTTAAAAAAATTCAAAAAACTTTAAAAATAACGATTATGACAATTGTCACAATGGTACATCCACTGAATTTTTAATTAAACGTATTTACAGCATATATTTTTACTTATTTGCGTCAAAAAATTTGAAAACTTTAGAAATAACGATTATGACAATTGTCACATTTTTAGGGAAATCTTCAATGAAATTTTAATTTAACATATTTACAATTTATATTTTTACCTTTTAGCGTCAAAAATAAACTAATATGTTTTAAAATACAGATTATGATATTTGTCATTTTTACAAAGGAACATCATCATTGAATTTATAATTTAACATATTTATAATATAATTATATTTTTACCCTTTTGTACCAAAAATTTCAAAAATGTTAAAAAATATCATGACAATTGTCACATTAAAATATTATTAGACGATCATGTAAAATAACATAAAAATTTAATATAAATATTTATAAATTATTTAAACTGGGTCTTTATACTAAAAAAAAATAGATAATTTTACAAAAATGATAAAAATAAACTCATAAAAGATTTCAACTAAAAGATTAATAATTCACAAAAAAATTAATAAAAAAAGAAGATTTTAAATTCTTATCAATTCAAATTTTGCTTAAAATTTTTGCATGAAATCACAAATTAATTGTGACAAAAAAAATATTATACAATACCTATTCTAAATATTCGTCCTCTAGTTGACTTAAGTTCACGACTCAAGTGGAAAACTCATGTTCTCGACTCAAGTCGACTTGAGTTCATGACTCGAGTTGACTGGAGTTCACGATTCGAGTCGACTTGAATTCACGACTCGAGTTCACGACTTGAGTTCACGACTTCAGTGAGTCGACTAACGACTCAGACTCTGAGTCAGAGTCGGGTGAACTCGACTTTTTAACAACACTAGGAGAAGGCATTTATGGTGTAAATTTATATTTGATAAACGATAGGAAGTTGGAATGACTTTTTAATTTTTTTTTACCTTCACAACACAATTAACAACTAAAATATTTATTTCTCCAAAATAAATCCTTTTGATTTTGGTTCTTTAAAAATATTTTTATTGAAATAATGATAAATTAGATAATATCAAGAACAAACGCATAGTACTCATAGATGATTCTATCGTCAGGGGCACGACTATACAACCCATCATTAAATTGCTCAAAGATAATGGCGCCAAGGAGGTTAAAATATTTAAATTTTAAACAAAGGCAACTTTCCTTTTATTAGTGAATCGCAGATTTTAGCTAGGGTTAGGATAACGCCATTTTCATTATGGAATTAACTATTATTACGTTTGCCTTAATTATGTTAGTTTTTTATCGTATACAAATTTTCTCTCTGGGAAATTAAATTACCTTTTAAAGTAAGGATGAGGAGTCAATTTTTGATTTTCCAATAAAAATAAATAATACATTTCAATTTAGTTAAAAAAAATTTTTTTTTACTAACACACTTCCTCTTTTTCGCATTCTAAAAAAAGTATATCTAAACGGATATCGTTTAGGGATAATTACGGTTCAGGATTGGGTAATTCCATACCAAATCGATAACTTTTTGGCTCGACCTTTTTAATTTCGATAAAATTTTGTATACTGAGAGAATATCATTAGAAAGCATCGAATCCAAAATTTTAGCCTCCTAGTGCTCATAGTTCCTGAGATATCAATGGTTAAAAGTGCCAAAAATGATGTTTTTTCGAAAAATGCGATTTTTTAAAATTGAAATAAGTTAAAAAATAATGATTTTAAAAATATAGGTTATATGTCAATTTATAACTCTATTAAGGGCCTTTTATTGAATATTAAAAATTTTTTCAAAATAATATTGTTCCGGTTTTTATTTAAGTTATAAATTTTAAACATGAAAACTCCAAGTGTTTCGCTTTCCAAATTTTTTTGAATTTAATATTTTCTTATTCTCTAACCTTATATCTATTCATAAAAAAAATTTAAACTTGGGACAGCCATGGGTTTTTTTGGTTATTGCCATTTAAAAAATCAAAAAATAAATATTATTTTCAAAAATAGATGGCGCTCCTTTATAAAATTACGCGTTTTGTTAAAATTATTATTTTTTTTAAACTTTTTTCCATTTTAAACATAAATAATAAGATTTTCCAGCATTAATAATTTTAAATTTCGTAAAATTATTTTATTAATTTGTAAATATAATAGATAAATAAAAATTCATGAAAGATATTACTTATTTTCGGTTTTCCTTAAATTTAATTGTTTTGACGCCATGATAATTTCGTTTTGCGATAGATTATATGTACGCCCAGTAGCCGTTGATGGGTTAACTATTGTTAAAATATTATTTTTTGGTATGTAAAGGAGATCTTGTGCCGCTGGATAAACAAAAGAATTTGCTGGTCCTTTAGGATGAAGAAAATTTATTTCATCTCTAATTACATTTACCTCTTGTACAAATCCTAACCACCAATCGTTATCATACACACATGTTACATATCCTCTAATCTCATCGATTAACAGATCCTCAATCAAAAGATCTTCACGTTGATATATTATATTCTTCACAACAAATGTCTGCGAATTAGAATATACTTTAGTTTTGAGCTTAGTTAAACCAATAGGAAACACTGCGTGAATTTTTTGTGTCCCAGGTATTGAGATAGCTTTACTAAATCTCTCACGTAGCCTCATCTCTTCTTCCTCATACTCTGGTATGGTGGCATAAGAAAAATTTATACCTTTTATATGCTCTTCCGCATATTTATGTAAAGGTGTAATTATTTGATCAGTATAAGGTCTTTGTAAGCTTGCCTTGGCAACTAACCTTTTTACTATGCCGTCGCAGGCACTTTTACCATGTGCCGTAGAAAAAAAATGCCATTCTGCTTGGACACCAAAATCGATTTCATGGTAACAAACATTGATGAAGTTTTTCCTATTTTTATATTGAGCTGCTGAACCATCAGAAAAGTAGTAAATTTTTTCTGGTGGAGTGTCGAATTTATTTTTTAAAAAATTAATCAAATGCGATTGGAATAAATGGAATGAATGAATTAAGGATTCCGATATTACCACAAAACTTAGGTTGTTAATTAGATTGCCTATTTTATAATAAATTGAGAATGGATGCAGCGTAGCTTGCGAAGTTGTCCAATGATAACCCTGAACTTCGTCTTGAACAATAAAGGAATAATTTTCTGAAAAGTCACAAATAATTATATAGTGATTATTTTCTAAACTATTTTTAAGGTTATTGTGAAATGAACTTTGTTGTTCACAAATAAATGAATGGCATATGAGAATATTCATTTTATCGAAAAAAAAATTAATAAATTCGTCTGAAGATTGAGAAATAGTCTCCAGAGTTGTTCTATCAACCGAAACTCATTGTTTAGACGTAATAAGAGCTATATCATTTTTTTATAAATAATTTTTCAATGCGTTCTTTTAAGAGTGTCGAGCCAGGACACTCGCTACAGTCACCAAAATAACAGGTTGGTAATGGGGGGTTGCAAATCATTCTGCCTCTAACATCTCTATAAGTTGTTAATATATCCTCACCATTTTTAGTCAATGTTGCTAATTCACAGCCTAAAATTATTAGTTTAATATTCTGGTGTATGCTACAAACGCATACACTATGTGTTCCGCTAGCCCCTGCCAATATGCAATTTTTTGGTCTTAAGCTTGCTAATTTCGAAAATCCAATTGTTATGCTTGAATTACTCTCCTTAAAATGATTATATAATTCTTTTAAATTATTAAGAACTAGCCTTTTTTGAGCGTTCACTCGTTCCCCCTTTTCAATGATAGATATGCAATCTTTTTTTCCTGGTAATACCCTGCTAACTTCATTACTGCAAAAAAAACAACAATATCAACTGTTTTTTGATTGAGATATTTTGCAGGCTTTCGATTTGGAGTTGAAAGAATCCCCTTTTCTTCTAAAATTATTTTGGAATTATATTCCATATATGTAGCGTTGAATTCCGTTTTTATTTTATTTGCACTCCAATTAGGAGGCAGAATGGTCAGCAATTGATATTTTTTATTTTTAGATAAATTAGGATAATGTAATTTCATATTGTTGAGTATATCATTATTGTCTTTTGTGTCCGATTCTGGATTGTTAATTATTATATCTGAAAGAGCTTTTGATATTTTTGCTATCTTTTTTTTTGGATAATTTTTTTCAGTTAGTTATTTTTTCTTAATAGGAGATATTCCAATTTCGTCTAAGGTTAAATTGATTGTATCTATTGATGCGGATGCTGTGGGGATATTATTTACATATTCGCTATCAGAATTTATATTTTCAATTTTTTTTGTGATAAACGCTTACGACATTTATCACAAATATAGTGTTCCGCCTCAATGTTTTGAAATTGTGTCATCCACATCCACGTCGTGACTTTACGCAGGTTCTTTTTACAATTAAAGTGTTTAGATTCTTTAAAAGGATTTGCACATTTATATTTATACATTATAAATAATTTTAAGAAAAAATTAATATTGAAAATATTTGTAATATAAAAATTAATTAATATCAAGGCAGGTGCGGGAAAACTTGCTATTATCTTTCAAAAATTAATTATATTTTCTTATATAGGAATTGTAACTATCTTTTTAGGAAATTAATCATTTATTATAAAAACTAATAATTTTTACAAGTTATCAATAAAATAATAATAATAATAAATAAGTCTATCAAATGATCTAAATAATATATTCTCATAATATTAATGCTGGAAAATCTTATTATTTATGTTTAAAATGGAAAAAAGTTTAAAAAAAATAATAATTTTAACAAAACGCGTAATTTTATAAAGGAGCGCCATCTATTTTTGAAAATAATATTTATTTTTTGATTTTTTAAATGGCAATAACCAAAAAAACCCATGGCTGTCCCAACTTTAAATTTTTTTTATGAATAGATATAAGGTTAGAGAATAAGAAAATATTAAATTCAAAAAAATTTGGAAAGCGAAACACTTGGAGTTTTCATGTTTAAAATTTATAACTTAAATAAAAACCGCAACAATATTATTTTGAAAAATTTTTTAATATTCAATAAAAGGCCCTTAATAAAGTTATAAATTGACATATAACTTATATTTTAAAAAATCGCATTTTTCGAAAAAACGTCATTTTTGGCACTTTTGACCATTGATATCTCAGGAACTATGAGTACTAAGAGGCTAAAATTTTGGATTCGATGCTTTCTAATGATATTCTCTCAGTATACAAAATTTTATCGAAATTAAAAAGGTCGAGCCGAAAAGTTATCGATTTGGTATGGAATTACCCGATTGTTTATAAAAAAATGATATCGGTTTAGTTTGAACTTTTAAAACCTGGATCTGGCTGAGGTTATGAGAATCAGGTATTCAACCCATAACGAATATCATTTTGGTTTGAATTTTTAAAACCCGGCTAGAACTTTTTCGCATTCAATATTCGAATTATGTAATCGCCTTTTTTTTTAAAAATTTTATCATTTTCCTTTAAAAAATAATATTGAGCTATATACAATTAAATATTTTCATGATTTTCTTCTGACAAATTTTAAAATCTATACCAAAAAAAAATAATACTCTATGATTAAGAACTTCTAGCCGCTAACTTTATTCGGTTCTTAAAGAATTATCAGTTCGGTTTAAGTTTTGTAAACAATAACGATAATAGTAGTTTAACAATTTGGTTATTTTGGGTTTTTATATAGCCCCAAGCTCATTTTAACACCATATTAAAACAAAAATCCTACTTTTTTTTGGCCAGGTTCATATACGGGTTTCTTCTCCTCCAGTCAAACATCCTTGCTTCATGGGCATCAACATTCCGACGTCGCAAGAATTGATCGCCAATAAATACACTGTGCCTGAAATGGCCGCCGTTTTTGGGGCCGATAGCATAGCTTACCTTTCTCTCCAGGGCCTTAAATCCTCCGTAAGGAAAATATTAAAGCATTATTTATAATTTTTTAACCTATGCGTCCTTTTCAAAATTAATTTATTACGCCCTACGATTTGAGTCGAAATTTATTTTTGGGCATTACAAAGGCCCTGAATTAAATTAACAATTTTAAAAGTTATAAATTTCATATTATCCTAACTATTCTAAAATCATTCTTCATAATTTTTAATTCTTTAGCTGCCATCAAACGAAATTATTCGTAAATATTAAAAATCAAGTTTAGATAGAACCCTGAATAGTTTTATTTTTTTAAATTGTGCGGGTCTTGTGAGTTAAGGAAAATCAGGGACCAAACCGTAACGAATATCGGTTCCAGGTTAGGTTCAGATAAAAATAACCGTTAAGGTTCAGTTCGTAGAAGATAATAATCTCGGTTCAATTTGAACTTAAAAAAACCGGTTCAAATCTTTTCATTTGCCAGCATATTAGAATATTTTATCACTATTTTCTAAAATAATATTGAGTTGTATACAATTAAAATATTTTCGAGATTCATCTCTACAAATATCTATAAGGGGTAGAATAAATTTTATGACTGAGAACACTTCTATGCTAACATGAGTAGTTGACAAATAGAGCTAATGATAATACACGTCATTTATATTATTTTATATTTAAAAAATGGATGTTTTGGTATATCGTTTGTAGCCTAGCCGGTGAGTGCGTTATCATGAATTCAGCAAGGGCCATATTTTTTTCTGAAGCCAGGGGATAGTATATAGTAGACTGGACTTGACTATGTGATTCCTTTAATATATATATCAATAAATAAGTGAGTCTAATTACATTTTGACAAAATTTGGTCGTTGTTTAGCAAATAATTCGACGTGCATTATCACTAGTCAAATATTCAATTATCTAAAAATATTTCAAATATTATTAATTATCTTAAAAAGAGTTAAATATTAAAAGATTCAAGCCTGCTCTATTTTTAGCAGTTCAGATTTGGTTTAGGTTCAGTAAATCTGTTCAGGTTCTGTATCCCTGGGCAAAATGGTCATATTGAGTTTTTTTTAAACATTTGTTCCTTTTTTCTTCAGGTCAGCAAGAATATCAACAAGAATGGAATCAAACCCAAAACAGGATATTGTGGTGCTTGCTTTACCGGTGATTACCCCGTGCCTTTAGAATGGTGAACACAAAGATCACTTTTTAATATATTTGTTTACTTTCTTTATAAGAAACACATATATATGTTTTGAAGTTATAGTCATTTATGTTGTTATATTGAAATACAAAAAATTCATTTCAGGTTTTAAATAATAAAGAAATATAATTTTTTTCTATTAAGCGATCATTATTTAGTTTAAAATAAAATGCATATAGAAATAATTAATATGACTATCTATATTTTTAAAAATATATGGGGCTCCACTTTTTAAGGTCACAGTCCGTTTCGGTCTAGAAATAATTTTCAAATCCCAAACTTTGGACCACAATATAAAGAACCGACCATGATCTGGTCTGATGCTTATTTTGGTGAATACCTATAAAAACAAATCTTAAATTTTTATTTATTTGCAAGTATAATTTCAAAATGTTAACTAGCACAGCATTAGCAATCGTTGGTGTCTGGGTGCATAGCACACCTGGTTATTTATTTATTGATGGTAAATTTAAAGTTTCTAAAACATGCCCTAGACATAACAAAACAAAAAAAGCTTTTTTAAAATTATCTGAGCATCCTTAAATAAAAAAAATTAGGTGGTTGAAGCACCCATCAACAAGAAACGCCGTAACAATTAACTCATTTATTTATATTGGAATAACAAAATCAGCTTCACTAAGATTAGATCAATATAATCATATATTCTATTTTAACATGACTGCACCCAAGAGATACTTTATATCAGTTTTCTTAATCTATTTCCCTTTTTATTAAGTCACCCGCTTGGAAAATAATTATTCCCAAAGAACTGAAGTTGATTGAAGTCTTTGTTTATTATAGTATATCAAAAAATACATAATTTTTCCTTCAGTCCAGCCAGGACCACACCAGGGAACAGATTCAAAAGACCTACCAGATATAACCGCCGTTGACCTTCACTATTCTTTATTGAGCTGATAATGCCAGTTCAAATTCTGGCAAAAATATTTTATCTTATATTATGTAGATATGATAGTTATGAAAGGCTCGACGAATACCAACCATATCATGGATTTAGTTGTTACCGTTAATAATGGTAGAGCATGGATTATAAAAAATATTGAAATTTATAATAAGGATGGTAATTTAATTTTATCATATTTTTCAACTAAAGTGTTAGTAATTAATTAATTTTAAATTTGGTGGATTATTTCTGAAAATTCGGTAGAATTTTGTTTAAAAAATAATTTCCATGACAATTTTTTGAATCTAACAGCTCTACCCTTTAATTTATATGATAAAATGAAGTAATGCCTTATAATTGAGCCATGAACACAACCCTTAGCCATTTTCCACATATTTATAAAACCAAACTTATATAGCCCAAAATTTATTGAAAGAAATATTAGAAGAACAAAAAAAATGAAAATATTTTTGAAACTTTTTTGTGAATTTTGTTCCTTTGTAAATTTTTGAATTGGTTTATAGGTCTTTTTTATTAAATGCATTCAGAAAGATATAAATTATACTTTATGTCTCAATGTCGCCAGAGTGTTGCAACGCCTCCAGGCGGTCAATGAAAGTTTTAAATATGGAATATTATTCTTCCCTTGACGGGTTGTAAAGGTCTAAATAAGTTGGTATAAAGAAGGGCATCCTATCGTAAAAAACCGCTTCAAAGTCTATCAACACAACAAAATATGATGGTCAGGGTATAGCCAAAATTCTGATCAGTTTACGAATAAAATAAAGATGAAGAGCTTGGAGGGCTACTGATCATGGTAGTGAGACTTATAATGGTTCAAAAGGTTTGACCGTCGATAGAAAATGGTGTAGTAGTAGGGGTAAAATTGGCATGACTATTGAAAAGTATACGTTTTTATAGATAAAAACGTGGCTGGTGCGTTTATTGGAGAAAAAATGGAATGAAAAGTAGTAGATGTGTAGAGACTTAGATAGTCATAGAGGAGATCAAGTAGAGACAAAAATCGGGGTAAGGCAAATTCTTACATCTTTAGTTATAGCTGAATAACTCCGATTTGGTCAAAAGGTATATTTTCATCGTTTATTTTAATTGGTTAATCCATATTTTACTTATATTGACCAAAAATGGCTTTTAATTCATTTTGTTCAAATTTAAAAAAGTCATGTCTTTTCGATATTTATTACGAAATAGATTCTTTGATATCCTGCTAAATAGATTTAATTCTGGGTTCCTAGCTCAACTTAAATTTGTGCTAGTTATTTTTGTAGTGTCAGGATGAGGCAAAATATCAATTTAAAAATTAATTTTAACATGCACTGTGTAATATAGATTTTAATAATAATTGTAAATTAACCAGTTTGACATGATTTTGTGCTTTTTTTTTTAGATATTTTATTTGAAATAATATATAGATTAGAAATCGGCAAAGCCCGGTCCGTGGGCTGGTCATATTTTTAATAGAATTTTAAATTGGGTTGGGCAAAAGATTTAACGATCTGTAAAATTCGTAAATAAAAATTTGAGCCTGGTGGGGCATCTTTGAAATAACAATGGGCTTATTTTATTTTAAGAACTATAAAGAAATAAAAATTATTACTTGTTTTATAGGAGGGACCCGGATTGAACCTTAACGAACCGCTAAACCATTATAAACCGTTATAAATATCTGAATCGTAACCGAACCGATATAATTATTTTTTGAAGGAGTAAAAAGAATCTATATAAAAAACAGTTAAACCGGTTCAGTTTTTATATTTTAGAAATGGAAATAATTTGAATATCCAGAATTATATAAACTTGCTCTTATAGTCCTGGCGGTTCCCGCAACACAAGTTTCTGTAGAAAGGGCTTTTTCGGGGCTAAAATTTGTGTTATCGTCAAAACGAACAAAAAGGAATCCATTTATATGAAAATATATTTACTTATACGTTCAAATAATATATTTAAAAATGAGTTATTTTGAATCTTATATATTTTTTTATATATAATTCATAGATGCTTATATAAAAATAAATTAGAAGATGGTGTTGCTTCAATAAAAAAAATTTCTAACCGTAATGAACCTTTATAAACCTTTATAATAATTAGCTGAACCGAACCTTTATAAATTTCTTCTTAAGAACCGTAACCATTATAATTTTTACATACTGAACCATAACCAAACTGAACCGTTATAAATAACGGTTCGGGTCCCTGTTTTATAGAAAAAAATTGCAATGGGTCACACTGGGCATCAAATTTTTGATATATTTCATTGAATTAGTTAAATTCATACTATTTGAAAGTAAATTAAATTATGCCTGACAAAATTATCTTTATTGACATGAACACCAAATTTGCAATATGCTTATTTCTTTGTAATAAAATATTAAATTCAAAAAAAAACAAACAAGTTATTTATAATATGATCCAATTACAATTATAAATATAAAAGATATTATCCATAACACAATTTATTAAAACTGTTGTTATAGAAATAGATAGCCAAGAAGAATATAAGAGCTTTAATTAATATCAAAAATAAATTAGATATATATATACACGTTAGAAATGACCCAAAAATTTGTGATTTTTCGTAAAATTTTAACGGGTAGGCCGGGAAATTAGTTAAAAGATTATCAGGCTCGTACAAGCCAGATAATTTAAATAGAGGGTCGGGAAATTGGTGCAAAAAATCATAATGGGCGAGGCATTGTCCATTATAGATAGAATTTTTGAATATATTTGGGCAGTTAATATAATTAAACAACCCTCTCCCCCCAATTGGGAAATTAAATTTATATATCAGGGGAGGATTGATTTACCCAGTTTAAAAAAGACTCCACGGCTTTCTATAAGGGTATATACTTAGGTTACATCAGAGACCTGCAGAGGTACCATTTGCACGGCCCGGCCCGGTTTTAAATTTTTTAGGCCCGGCCCGGATATTTAAAAAAAAAATTTCTAGGCCCGGCCCGGCCCGGATATTTTTTAAAAATTTAAGGCCCGGCCCGGATATTTTTAAAAAACAGGCCCGGCTCGGAATTTTTTAAAATTATATTCGACCTGGTATATACAAAAATTCACCTATGAGGTATTTTACCATATTTTTCAGCGAATATTATCGCTTATTATTTAAAAAATACATGTAAAAAGCTAATATTTTGAGAATATTATATTGAATTTATAAAAATTATAAAACTGTTATTTATAAAAATGGATATTTTGAGCATATACTATATTTTATATTGCATTTATAAAAATAAAACTAATATTCATAAAAATGGTAATAATATTTGTCATATACTATATTTTATATTACATTTAAAAAAAATAAAACTAATATTTAATTTATAAAAATGGGAAATATTTTGAGAATATAATATATTGTATTTAATTTATAAAATAAAAATAAATCGCTATTTAAAAAAATGCATGTATAATAAATAGTATTTTGAAAATATAATCTAATTGCACAATATTAATTTAATTTATTTTATAATATAAATTTTTAACAAAAGAAGATAATTGTATTATATAATATTGTAAAAAAAAATAATGAAAAATGTTGGATTAAAAACTTTCATGACTCAAGGTAAATATAATAAATGCAATAAATATTTGACAGTTTGCAAAGTAAAAAACCAGCATGATTGACGAAACCCTATACTCAAGAAAGATATTAAAAATTCACAAATTATCATGAAGAAAGAGAAGCATATCTACCTTTTCAGGATGAAGATTACTTCTTCTTTCTTCAAGAATTCTCCCACAGCTTGCACTTAAAGCAGGAATTGCCAATTTTGCTAAAATTGGAAATTCGCTTTGATGAGCCGCCCACCACTCTAACAAATTATCCACCTTAAATGTTTTATCTATTATTTATGTAATTATAATATTCATCATCGAGTATTGACATATTACCAGAATTATCATCGCCCCATTTGTCATAAAACGATTCAGTTTGTTTAACAACAGTCGTAATTTGACTGGTCGATGGTATTTCATTTACTTCCTGAGCCTCTTGTAATTTAATATAATCTTTTATATAGTTTTTCGTCATTTTGCGATCTGTCCCTGACTACATACGTAATTGCTTGAATTTGGGACAGAGAAAAAGAGAAATAAAATGATACTTGTGTAAAATAAATTTTTCAATTAAAAAATGCTTTATATTAAGTAAAATCAATTTTATTTCTCCTTTTCGCTTTGAAAGGTATTACAAACTTTTAGAAGTGATATTCCTTTATTTGATTGTTTTGGTAAAATATATTCTAAAAATTTAGATATGAATTATAAAAAAATATATTAATAATACTTGAATATTGGGGCTTATTTAAGATATTCCTTTAGTTGATTGTTTTGGTAAAATATGTTGTAAAAATTTAGATATGAATTATAAAAAAATATATATTAATACTTTAAATAAATTTGCAGGAAATTAATAATTAGATCGATCTGTGGGTTGTTAGGTAGTGTTAACCATCACCCAATATTATATTAATCATAACTATAATATAATATAATCTTATAACCATTAACTCATAATGTAAAAATTTTTATAAAAAATATTAAGGCCCGGCCCGGCCCGGGTTTAACAATCTTAGGCTCGGCCCGGCCCGGCCCGGATATATTTTAAAAAAATTTTTTTAGGCCCGGCCCGGATATGTTTAAAAAAAATTTTTTAGGCCCGGCCCGGGTATATTTAAAAAATTTAAAATACGGCCCGGGTTTAGGGCCGGGCCTGCAGGTCTCTGGTTTACATGCCTTGTTCGTGCCTATGCAATGTTCAAAAAAAGTCAAACATCATTCCTCGCCATATAATAATATTATAAATTTTAAAAAAAGGATGCTATGTCAAAAAGAATAAAAATGACTAGTTTTGTAGTGTGTATTATTTGTAGTCCAGGTTATTTAAAAAAATATTGCTGAGAAAAAGCTCCCTAAAAATTGGCCCCAAAAAATTTTCCCACTCAAAAAATATCCCCCCACCCCTTCATTTTCATTTTATTTGAAGAATAAGAACATTTAAAACATTATGAGAAAAATTATATTATATTCTCGTAAATTATATTAAAATTTGATATTGATTTTTGAAAAGGTGAAATGAAATATTATTTATAAAATTATTTTTTTAATTTAATATTGGACCCCTACAATGAATCTCTCAATTGACTTAAATCCGTGATGTCTTATCCATATGACAAGAATATTTTAAAGAAATTTTACCTGTTGAAGGGTAGAACATTTAAAAATCATATTGAAAAAATTTCTACTAATCTGAACCCTCATCTTTTTCTATATAATTCTAAATGTTATTATATTGCAAGGTTATTTCATTTATCGAAAAACCAACGTCATCACGAATAATTCTATTTAAACTATATATTCGATTTAAACTATATATTCGATTTAATTTTAACAATGTTTTGCAATTAAAATCAAAATTCATTTTTGTTAAAGTATAATTTGATTGTTATTTTTTTGAGTTGGAATTGGAAGTAGTTATAAATCAAAATTTCGATTCGAAGGTCTTCCTTTTGTCGATTAACTTTTTTAGATCGCACAAATAAAAATTTCGCATATGTTACCAAAGTTTCATAATTATTATTTATTTTATTTTAGGATTGGAAAACTTTTCCATCTGAAACTTTCTCTTTTTACTCTTTTAAATAAGGAATTAAAAAAAAAATTTTTTTTTACCATCATGAACCTTTTTTAGCATTCATAAGAATAAGAATATCATCCTTCACGCTGGTACGAGTAACACGATTTTAGAAAGGTAAAAATACCAATTTTTTTTAAAAAAATTTCAATAACGTTTAATAGAAATTTATTTTTATTAATTTTATGTCAACACCCCTGTAAAAAATATATACTGCCTGATGAAAGATTTTAAGAGTTGAAATTTATTTTTAAAATCCTCTTTAAAATCTATACAAAAGTAGGACTTAAATGGTCGATAAATAGGAGTAGTAATATAAGAATAAATTATTTGAAATGAATATATATTTTATTTTCTCTCGTCCATAAAAGATCGACGCAATCCTGAGAGAAAATTAAAATAATTAAGTGTATACTAGTCTGTCTGAACAAGGATATATCGGACTTAATAGAACATTTAGATAATTGTTCAATTCAAGGAATGTTCAACTGAAAGAAATTTTTAATTGGATAAAACACATTTAAAATTAACAAGCATCAGAAGTAAGGATTATGATTAAAGGTTAGTGAGATGGGTTTCGGGTTAATAAAAGGTTTGCGAGACATGGGCTAGGGTTTAGATATATAAAAGATAGTTTTTAATAAAATTAAGCTATTTTTATATAACCTATCAAATCTGACAGGTCGTGTAATAGAAATTTAAATAAATAGCTGTTGTAACTGCAATTTCCTTGAGTTGGATCATAATAATCTATTTTAAAAATATTTAATTGGGACCCGCAAAGTAAATTTTCATTTTTCCAATGCTTTTGTAGATAAAATGCTGTTTTCTTAATATTTTTATAGATATTATTTGAAAAACGTCAATTTTCTTCTCTAGATGTTATTTTCGCTTTCCTTAAAAAGTCATACCTTTTCCGTCTATTTTTCTTTAATTATTTTTATGGTAGATCAGACTCCGATCTTTGAGAAAATAGAGTAAAAAATCGGATCAGTCGATCAAAATATTTCTGGGCAGGATTTCTGATGCAAATCGCTGACATAAAGGTCCTAGACAAAATGGCCCGGAAAAGTGCCTCTGATAAAAATACATACTGACAAAAAGACACTAGACAAATTAATTGCAGTATTTTTATCCAGGAGATTTATGTCAATGATTCATAAATACAGAACCTAAATTTTTCAAAAAAATTTCAAATTCATATGCCTTTTAAAATATATTAATAAAAGAGAAAGAAGGAATATGTATAAATAACAATGAACTAGCCTGTACTAGACCAAAATCCACGAGGGAGGGTAGGACTGGTTAACATTTGCCCCAAATTATTTTCGAATCCTATGCAGTAATGAAATATATAATTGTATGAAAAGAAATTGGAAAAATGATTTTAAAAATAAAAATATAGCAGAAATATTTTGCAACAAAAATAAATAATTTAATGTAAAAATAAAAAAATAAATAGCACTCATTTAGGAGCAGGCACTTCTATGCCCTTCTTCCCCCTGCGATATTAATCTTCAAAAAATTCATACTCCCCCATCCCCTCCTATTTCCGATCCAAATTAGCAAAGAAGGTGGGAATTTAAATCAAAATCAGTAAATAAATGCATATCCAAATCTACCCTCCCAACTATCCCCTTCCTCCCTCATCTCTTTCACTCTTATTTTATTTCAAAAATTAATCTTCTCTCTCCCCTAGTAATAGAAGTTGTTAATAAAGAAATCAATTTCCACCATTGAAACTATCCTAATTAAAGTTAACCTACATTATCATACTCATTTTTTTTTATCGTAAATAAAGTGTAAATATTATGTCCGCCTCAACGCTTTTCAATGCAAGTAAATCCGAACCTTCTTTAACCTTAATAAAATCAATGCGCATCATAATTATCTACTCGATGATAACCTTTTTCACCTTAATTCAATGCATGCCCTGTACTACCCAACTTTTAAGGTAAAAAATATAGATGTGTTTTTATTTAAATCTATAATATATTTTAAAATAAGGATAGGGTTTATAAAAATTAAAGGATCGATAAACCCTCAGTACACCCCCCCCCCCCCAGAATTTGTAAATTCTTTGAAAGTTTCTGGAATGAATGAAACAAAAAAAAAGATTTTTCAATAAAATTCTTTCTTAATTTCAAATACATGAAAATTATCAGAACTCAAAAAAAAGAGTATGAGATATTTTCAGGGGGCTTCCAATTTTCGCATCAAATAAAAAATAAATTTTTTAACTAGTTTGTGCTTCAATTTCGGTTATATGAAACTTGTTGGAATGATAACCATTGCTCTGAAAAACAAGCACATCTTACCTTATTTGTGGTCAACAATGGTCGTCAATGACTAACTTTTGAAATTGAAATTTAATAACGTTAATGGCCTCTAATAATTGGGAAAAAAATATAATATTTAAAAAATTAAATCTAAAGCATAAACTTGGTTTATTTCGTGTTTTTTTTGCTTTTGTCTTTTAACATTCATCCCAAACTCTAATCGAGGGTGTACATAATGAAGTCTTACAAATCATAGACTCAGATATGGTGTCCGTAACGTCGAAAGTTACTTACTTACCGCATATGATTTTCATAAGAGAGATTGGAATTCTGATGATATTTTTGCATCAAAACATTAGTTGTCAATTACATGTTATTAGAACACTTATAATTTTAGACAATTATCTCTCTATATTATCGGATGGATTACATGTCAAACACATAAATTAAGACGATTATTCAAGCACTCAGTGTAAATGAACAGGATGAGTTGGGGGAGGGGGCTCCTAAGGGAATATGGTTTATTTTTGGATTATATAGTGGAATCTAGATTAATATCCTCCAGATTTTTTTCTCTTATGAAAGACTATACCAAATATATTGGGTGGCTAAAAAAGCGTCGCGTTTTGAAATATTTAACTCTGAAAGGCATCATTCATTTTTTTAAATAAAACTTCGGATTTTATTAAAGGGTTTATGGAACATGGACCTATTCAAAAATTAATAATAATCAAATGATGGAATTGGTTCTCCTTTTTCTTGTATAACAGCTAACAATATTTTCTTCTACTGAGCTAGCGTCAATTTAATTTTTTTCCTTTCCAAATTAAGGATCATATTTCACATTTTTTTTATAAAGTTTAAATATCTAAAAGGTTGTTTCTTATTTTTATAAACTAAATTCTATAATTCTTTCCACACATGATAATCCAGTGGATTTAGATCAGAAGAATTAGGGGGAAATTCAGATTTTATAAATCTGAGTAATTAGCAGACAAACATTTCTGTGTAAATAGAGTGCTATACGAAGGGGCTTTTTCTTTCACAAAGATAAGATCTCATCGGCCAAAGGCTTTGGCACATAGTGACAAAAGTTATTTCAGATGATTGATGAAAACTTTAGAATTTTTCTTTATTCTTTACTGATTAAAAAATTATCATCTTATTATATTGGGAATAAAAAGGTATTTTATAATGAGATTTGTTTGATAGCCTAAATATTATGTGTTATAATTTATGATGAGAGAAAATTTTTGAAAAATGGCGAAGTTCCAGCTATAGTCAAACACAATGAAGAACCCATGAGCCCTTTTTTTTGAAAAAAAATTTGATGCTTCTGAGTTATTTTGTGTCAAACTTTAGAACTTTTGATCTCAATTTTAAAAAAAAACGACTCTATGAAATTCTTAAAAAAATTAAAACTGTCTGATATTCATAGGGTAGATACTCGATACCTATTGAAATGCAATTCCGGTATAATCAGGCCTTTCAAAATTAAAATATATGCGCTACAAATAATTTAAATTTTAAAGATTTGCTAAAAATTCACATTTACGAAATCCCTACATTAATAAGATCTGGGAGTTCTCGTTACATATGAGCGGGAAGGTCGGCAAATTCATTCCTTATTTTTGTGTTTCATCGTTGACATTTTTTATGTTTTCAAAATTTAATTGTTTTTCAAAATTGGCTTTAAATTTTATTTATTTTAATCAACATGTTGAGGTGTAATATAATATGAGGCTGTTTAGTTTATTATCTTTAGGTTTGAATAAATATTCCATAAGCAAAATTCAAATTATATATATTATATGCCAATTAATGTACAATGCACATATTTAAGAAGCGTAGTTATATTAAATAGTTATGCAATTTGAAAGCTTTGGGAGTTGTTTTGCATGCCTTATGTGACACAAGCCGCCCAATCTGCAAGTGCCTGTCAAGATTTATATTTTTCTTTATTTTTCCGAATCTATGGAATTCACTTATATTTGATATGAATAATAATTTCAATAAACACTTCTCATATTTTAAAATAATGAATTATAAAATAAAAGTGAGCCAAAGTTTCTACCACAATACGGTGAGAATTATTCCAACCAAACCGACTCGGATTTGCCAAAAAAATTTAGACTGCACAGATACCACACCGTCAAGAAGGTTTATTCATAAACATAAAATAATATATTGCTAATTTTCCCTCTCCTCTCCATATTATCTCTTGTTTTTTATTATTGATTCATTGTAAATGATCAAGAATGAGCAGGTCCGAATCTCATAATATAATCTTAAATAATTATATAATGCCCTTTAATTTGAAGGCATAGGTTTTCTCTGAGTCTGAAGTCAATGTTCGATGTAAATTCTTTGCAACGTTATTGTGAGAATTCAATTTCATTTAAATCAGGCAATTCTTAATTGCCTGGATAAGAAAAAGGATTTATCCATGTTAACTCTTGTCCTCTACAAACAATTAGATTTCGGTTATTTAAAAATTAGAATTGTCGGTATACGCATATCTTATAGCCTGATCTGTTAGCTTCAATACCCTCCCTATCATAGCGTCTTAATTTAAAGAAAGTTTAAACATATTATATTTGTTACAAATTTTATCAACCTTTTTAAAAATCAAGATTCACAAATGGCTCTACGATTGCAGTCGTAACTTTTCTAATCATACTAACCTCGTGAATTTAGGGCACACCTATGAAAAGAGACCCGTATTATTGATTCAAGTATGACTATGACACTCCTTTAATTTATATTTTATAATATATTGTAAAAGCACTCGTCTAAAAAAGTTTATATTTGATCTAGATGATCAGGTTTAAAGGAATGGTTTTAGAGGCCAATTGTGGAAGTTAGGAGAAAACTTTTTGAATAAATAATCACATAGACAAGGGTGTATTGCGAGTGGGGCGGTGGCTAAGCCCTTCGCTATTGTAATTTTTATTTTTAGTCCCCTTTCCAAATTTTAAAGAAGGGCTGAGCTCCGACGCTAAATAAATTTTAATATTTTTTAAAAGGGTTACATTTGACCTTTCTCCTTATTGTTATTATTATAAATATTAAAGATTTTATATAGTCAAAAATCGGTTTCATATATTTTTTTATAGCTACGTAGAAGGTAGAGAAGGAAAAAGTTTTATTTTTCAATATTTTTATTTTCATCATTTTTTTAATAAATTTTAGGTCGCTGCCGCTTCTGCTCTATTTAAATTACAGAATGGGGTTCACCACCAACAAGTAATGGTGATAAATAGCTCCATTTTAACAGGTTTTGAACTAACTCTAAAAGGTTAAACCAAATTTTTAAGCGAAAACTACCATCTTGGCCTCGATTTAACTTAAAGGATAGCTCAATCTTGAAAAAAATTTAACTCTTGACTATTAGGATTTAGCCGATTTTGTAACATTACAGGTAAAAAAAAAGAGTCCAATTTTAAAATCTTTTAAAAGTTTAAATAGGAATTTGGAATTTCCATATAGGTATGTTGTTAGGTATAATTTACTATGAAAGAAATAGTAAATTTGGACATTTTTTTCATCAGGTTCTTCGTGTCCCCGCGATATTTACCCACTTATTATGCTCTAGCAACTCTATAATATTAATAAATAAAATCCTACACCATTTATGACTTTAAAACAATATAATTAAACTTTTTCAGGCCTTATTAGGCTAGGAATACCAAATAATCTAAGTTGATGATAATCGACTAGTTATTACTAATCGTATTCTAAATTAAGCCACGAGTGTGTATAATAGTGCGAACAAATTGAACGTTTCAACGCAGCGTTTCAAAACGCAAACAATGCATTTTAAATGCTTTCGTGTTTAAATTGGACAGCATTTTTTTTTGTTTTAAATTTAGACGTTTCATATTAAAATAAATTAAAATTAACGGTCAATTTACGTTTACATTTGTTTATTTGCGATTTGAAACGTTGCGTTGACACGTTCAATTTGTGCGCACTATATCTTCATACTGTACTAAAATGTTATCTGGAAATAAATGAGAAATAAATATTTACTAATTAATTAAAAAAATTTATCAGTTATTTTTATCTTTAACTACAAATTGTGTTTATTTTTACTTTACCCTATCCTTTTGGAGGCAAATTGTCCCTACCCCCATCGCTCATTTAAATGTTGTATATAGGGAAATATTTACAGATGTCGCTTCAGAAAATCTAATTTTATTTTAAAATATATCATTAAAAAAATTCCAAAACTTATAAAATTAAAAATAAATCAATTTATAATTTCTCTATAAAGCATCATGCAGTCCCATCTAGATAACTTTGAAAACGAGAGAAAAATGACTTAAATCTTTCCGATATATACTCTATACAAAAGAAATTGGACTAAAAACTTAGATACGCGATTTGGTGAAAAGCAAATAAAAATAATCTGCCAATGATTTAAATTAAATTAATATGATGGGCTTCGATAATATATCGATGAAAATATTCCTATAATGAATTTTTTAAAATTCTTTAATATGGAAAAGGAGTGATCGTGAGTGAAAGAAATTTTTTTAAAGAAAAATATTGCCCAAAAAACGAAGAAATAAAATATTAATAGATTTTTTTTAAATTCATATTTATATTTTTTAATTTATATAGATATCGGTGGTATTAAATTTGTTATATTATTTAAAAAATAATGTAAATAAAGTATTTATTTATTTCATATTCGTAATAAAAAAAATGTTTTATATATATATATACCTAGACCTTGGCCGGCCGCAGATTTTTTGGTTACGCCGAAAACGCCGCAGTTTATAAAAATTACGCCGGGGCCGCACGGCCGGCGCAGAAATTTTTTAAATATTTTATACCTTTTTATTCTAATAATTAATCAACATCACTGTTGTAATTTTTTTAATGTCAAACAGGATTTTGATGAACTCTTATTTTCTACATATTTTAAAATCATAATTATATTAACGTCATTATAGAATTCAATCATTCAAAAATCTAAAATTCCAAAAGTTACCATAATTTTACATATTTTTAAAATGGATGCAGCTAAATTTAATAAATCTCTAATTAATATTAATATTATAACAGTAAATAATAAAAATAAAAAATCATTTGTCTAGAAGTTTTTTGGTTTCTTACACTTAAAAAGAGATGATAAAACAATTTCCATAAATTCTGACAAATTTTAGTGTATTTGTTACTTAGAAAAGGCTATTGCAGACGATGATAATTCAAATAAGCCATTTTCTCATTATTTTAAAATATTAATTTCTCATATTAAGCTAAAATTTTTAATAAATTAAAATATGTTTTGTAAAATATAATTCATAACTTTTCAATCAACATTAGCACAGGAAATTTTTTAAAACACTTGACTTCTGATCATTATATTAAAGAAGATACTTCATCAAAATCGCAAGATTTAAAAAAATATTTTATATCTAAACCAAAATTCCAGACAAATTCAAAAACCTTTAAAAAATGGCTTCTAACAAGACTATGTGTTATTATGTTGTGCTGACTTATTACCTTTTCAATCAATTGATAATATAGGAATGAAAGATTTTTTGAAAGTATCAAATTTATAAAAAAAATTGTTATATTTATCTATAATGGATCTACCTTTATGTGTTTCTTGTTCTAAATAACATTGGCTGCTGAGGAAGGTTTACAATAGTTGAATTTCATAGCCATGCTAACAATATGATTACACAAAGACATGAATGATTTAAATAATATTGGATGATTGCATATTCATTTGTCCTAATCATCTCTTTTTCTGTGTAACTTTATAACTCAGAATAAAACAAATTTATTTCTCCTTGATAAATTCTCCCTAATTTGTTGTCTAATATAAATTAAAGATGATTTTTGGTTATAAATTTCAAAATACTTATATTAGAAATATCAAGTTATCCATCAAAAAATTAGAGAAATTATTACTGCTCTATTAAACTGCAGAGGTTGAATTTGAATTAGAGGCAGATCAAAAGAAAATGCCTAAGTACAATAGATTTAATATCAGACATGTAGATCTTGATAGCGATGATCCATACCCAGATACCCGTTTTCAAATGGGCAATTACAATGATAATAATAACAATAATTCAACACATATGAAAACCTTAAAATTAAATGTTCCAAAACGATGGCATAGTATTTTAATTATGCTAGAAAGCATATCTGGATTAAATAAGAATTTAATTAATAATGTTTTAAAAAAAATTGGGAAACACTTTCTCAAATTATCAAACTATGAATCTAATCTGGTAGAAGAAATATTAGCATTTCTTTCAAAATTTAAAAAAACTGTCGAATTTCTATCAGTACAAAAGGGCCTACTTTAAACTTGGCGTTACTTTTTAGAAGTGATCTTGAAACACATTTAATAGCAAATAATAGTGATAGTTTTGAAATCATTTCACTTAAGGAAAATAGGCTAAAAACATTTCCGCTACGATTTTCGATTTGCAAATAACAATATATAAGTATATTCATTTATTTAATTTATTTTTTATTTAAAAAATTATCTAAGTATTAGCTTCTCTTTTAGATCCAAGATTTCAAAAATTGACAATTGTGTCAAAGTATATAATAAAGCAAAATTGCTCAGCTTCATTTTATAATAAACCATCTTAAACCTATAGAGAATGATGATATTCAGGTAGTAAATATAGATACTGAGGATAAAGAGTATTAAATTCAAGTTATTTGACAAAATAAATAAACATTCAACAATGCAGGTAGAATGCCACATTCTTATTGAAAAACGACATTCACAAGATATGGATGTTGTAAATTTTTGGAGAGAAAAGAAGGTGTCCCAATCTTTCAGGCCCGCCAAAAAAATTATTTGTATTCCGGCGACTAGCACACTCAGTGAAAGAGTTTTTTCTCGTTGAGTTCAAGGAGATCATCATTATATCCCGAAAATTTAAATAAAATAATTTTTATACATGATAATTATAAAATTACGAAATCGATTTTGGATTTATGAGTTTTCTCTTAAATAATGATTAAAAAATATGCCGAGTTATCTGTAGAATATGTATATTTATTTTTTAAAAAAATTTATTAAGCTATTAAAAAAAAATTACTGCGCCTATTTATGCCGCTTTTGTTGACGGCAGCTAAAAATCGGCGCGCCGCCAGCCGTCATTAGATTTTTGAAAATTGCGCCGGCCGCAGATAGTTTTGTCGGCGCACAGGTCTATATATACCATATTTTTTGATAATATATAAAAAAAATCGTATCCATTCCTTCCATCAAGTTTTTAAGCAACACCACTGCATAGACAATTAAGTTTTTGTTATGAAACAAACTTGTTATCGCTTTCATTTTAGTGAAACATTTTTAAAAAAGTGTTGTTTTATTGTAAAAATGGTTAGAGAAATGATAAAAATCACATTAGAATCGAAGCATGTAAGCTGCATAAATCCTAGATATAATGATAAATTCCCCAATTCAAAATATTTATATTATTTGTAATACTAGTTTTATATCCAGTATTTTCTTATTTGGCGGCCAGTTAAGCAAAAATTTGACCAAAACAGATATTCCGGTGATTTGGATACAAGCCGGCACTCACGCCAGGGAGTGGATATCCATTTCTACAGCGCTCTGTTTGATATCTAAGATACTTAAAGTACTCTCTCGGCACAATGATTACGACCACAAAAACGACGTATTTCGAACCCACCGGTTAGTATCGAGCTATCGATTCACTTTTATACCTCTAATCAACCCAGACGGTTATGAATACTCTAGAAAAGTAAGCCGATTATGGCGGAAGAATAGATTCCGGCATAAAAATTGCACTGGGGTTGATTTGAACCGCAATTGGGGCTATCTAGGAAACGAATCTTCGTTTTCGATGCTCGATGAGGATGTACGTCAACAGAAACGCAATATCAATTCCAAGTATTTATAAATTTTTTTAAAAAAAATTTTAAAAAATTTATCTTTCGATTCAAAAATAAAGAAATTTTGCATCTTTAATATCCTAGGTCGAAATTTTGATAGCCCATTAAAGCATTGACTTGTGATACTGAAATTTCGAATTTTTAAGAATGATGATTTGTAAGCAGATAAGTTTAATTGTAGGTTTTTTATAACTTCCCTTACATTATTTCCAATTATAATATAATAGGCATCTACGATAATAAGAGAATGACTACAAAAATTTAAATTAGATATGCAAATTAGAGAATGAGTTTTAATAATTCTTAATATCCACTGTTATATATATGTTTTAATAAAAATGCTCTAATAGTCACAAGTGCTCAATCCTATACTCCGGTCCTTACCCGTTTTCCGAATTCGAAACGAGTCTGATAGCTAACTATGCCAGAAAATTGCCTAACATCAAGGCCGCTTTAGAACTCCACAACCCGGGTCAGATGATTATTTATCCCTGGGGTTGGACCAAGCAACCTACCCCAGACAATGATTTACAGGTATTAAAAATTTAAGTTTGATTTGATTAATCTCACATATAAAAAGATTCTCATTAGGATCTATAAACACTCATTTAGTTAAAAAAATTACAGATAAATTTTTTGAGAATATTTTATTATATTTACTTTTATTTATAAAACAAAAATGGTTCGGATCAAAGGAATTTGCAGCCCGAAAAATGGCCGAAACTATTTACAACACCACAGGGGAACACTATGTATATGGGCAGATATCGCAACTCTTGTATAAGGCCCCTGGGAACTCCATCGATTGGTTTTATGGAGCTCTGGGCATTAAGTATTCCTACGGCATAGAACTACGGGACAAAGGGAAAGAAGGGTTCTTGGTTTCTTCCAATAAGGTCAGGCCTACTTGTAAAGAAATCTTCAAGGCCCTCTTAGCTTTGCTAGATATAATATCTAAGAGAGATAGGGTTATTCCTCTTTAATTCTTTGATTCCATTATTTTACTACATTTATCTGTTCGATCATTGAAAGTTTCTATTTATTTGATGATTATTTATTTCTTTTTACATTCATCGGAAGATATTTTCGTTAAATAGTTATTGATATTTACCATTATTATTATTTCAAATGTTATATGTTTGCAAATCGCCAATGTCGCAAATTTTTGCTTGTTAAAACTTAATATGGCAAACTTCTTTGTACAAACAATTCTAAATATGTCGTCGTTTTTGTATAAGTAAACAATATCAATCCAATGCTAAATAAAACGTTGAAACTCTTAACTTAATATTATATACCAAATTCAAATATAATTCTAAAATTGAATTTTATCCTATAACCCTAAGTTCAAGCTGATTTACCTTCATTAAAGTAACAATGTATTTTTAGATTATTCTACTATACATATCCATATCAGTTTAAGGGTAAATCTATATAATGAAATCTATAGAAATTCTTTTACTTATTAAGCTGCTACAAGAAACACCCCTGTACGACTTGGAAGTTATAATATAAACATATATTTTCAAAGTTGTGGAATTTAAATACAAAATCATTAAATCAATTTCAACTTTATTTTAGGAAAAACATAAATAATGCTTTTTGATATAAAAAACGAATATTATTATATTATAATCTTTTTATCAACATTTGCATATTCATCCGAAATATAAAACCTAATGATATACAACAAAATTTATGAATAAAACCAAAAACATAAAAATTAGAATAATCCACACAAAGTAAAACTTAAAATTAACATAGTAAAAATCCATCATAACACCCTTTTACTTAAATCGATCTTTACTACTATCGGGCCATTTAACTGGTTCACTCAACCTCGAACTTCTTCTTCTGTCGGACAACATCTCATTACATGATTGCCTCCACAAGACCAGCAAGATATCTCTCTTCTTTTATCCCAATCCTGTTCCCTTCTTCTGTTTGAGTACGGACACCTTGCAGTATCTTGAATCGTTTCTCCACTACGCTGTTGGGTCTCCTCTCTTGCTAAATTCATCCATCTTCTAGATTCAGCTGATCCATCCACTTCTCTGATTTCTATCTTTATTATTTTGTTACCTATTCTAAAATAGGACGCATTTTTTTTCACCTTATTTCTCTCTTATCTTCATGAAATTCACCACTTCCCAAATTTTTTATAGTCTTACCCAACATACGTTGTTTATAAACAACAAAATTATAACTCTCATGATTCTAGCACAACTTGTTAAAAAACAAATCAATGTCTATCATCAATTTTAAAACACACAAAATTATGATCCTCATAATTCTAGCACAACTTGTTAAAAAACAAATCAATTATGTCTATCATCAATTTTAAAACACACAAAATTATGATCCTCATAATTCTAGCACAACTTGTTAAAAAAACAAATCAATTATGTCTATCATCAATTTTAAAACACACAAAATTATGATTCTCGTTACTTGTTAAAAAAATAAACCAATTATGTCTATCATCAATTTTAATACATACAAAATTATGATTCTCACAATTCTAGCACTACTTGTTAAAAAACAAATCAATTATGTCTATCATCAATTTTAAAACACATTGTTGTTCTTGCCCTACCAATCTGGGTCTTAACTGTTTAATATGTCTTGGCCAGGTTTCTGCCTGCCCTTCAATATCTACCCCTAATTTTTTTCTTCCTATATTTTTCCTTATACACCCTTCCCCCATTTAATTGGACCACCAAACAGCAGTATCCTTCCAATTTTAAATTTTTCACAACATATAGTCTCTCTTAGCTATATTTTTTTTAAGAAATCCAATTCAGTTCTTATTTTCCTACCTTAAAATATCTCTGCTGAAGAATTTCCTTCGGTCGTCTTAGTGTTGTTGTATGCTGACAACGTAACCACCATTTTCCTTCTCCATATTTTTCTTTTTTTAATCAACCTTTAACTATAGACACCATTCGTTCAGCTTGACCAATACTTCATAGGTATTGGGTGACAAAAATTTGCCAAATGCTCTGCCTTTTTGAAAGCTGGACCTCCATCTGATACTAACGTCTGCGTTAAACCATATTTACCTACAAAATCTTTTATCTTACCTAAACTATTTTTGTTTACTAACCTGATACCTATTGGCAATCTATCCATTTTGAACTAGCATCTTCCATGATAAAATATTTTTTCATTTCATATTTAAAAAAAATCTACATTTATTCTTTCACATGGAATGTTCATCTCTGACCATTTATCTTTGTTTCTTGCTGGTACATTAGCACATATGTTACATGTATCACAACTCTTAGCCTATCTCATATTCATTTTGGGCCACCAAATACTCTCGGGCTTTATCCTTCATTTTTTCTATGCCTTGATGACCGGCACGTACCGCTGCTAAAATATTCTTTCTAACATATCTGGTATCATTAATCGATATCCTCTCATTGAACAATTGTCTTCTATACTTAATTCACTCTTTATATTTTAAAACGCTTGTCTTCAATTTTTCATTCTATATCTCCATTCAAACAAGTTCTAATTCTCATTAATTTTTTTTATCTTGCTAGGATGCCTTATAGACTTGCTCAAAAGTTATCGACTTTCTCTTGTATCTACCAGATCTTATAATATTAATATTTAATTCATCTTCTTCGTTAATATACTTTAAACTACCAGGGGCGTCGCTAGCCTTTACAATCTCAGGGGGCTCAAATAAAAAAAAATATATGGGGGCTTCGCCACCCATACCCCCAATTTGCTGGCCTTCGGCCCGCTTTTGCCCGTCCTTCAGCCGGGTTTTATATTAGTATATTATATATTTTTAAAATTTGTTAAATCTGAACAATTATTTCTGAATTTCATATTTTGTCATTTATTATAATATGCATATAAAATAAACTGGCATATAAATAAATAAATAATGAAAGACATTTCTAAATATAATAATCTATTTATTACAATATAAAATATTTTCGATTGCTGATATGAAAAAAATTTGCGTCAAAGGTTAATTTATTCATACATATGCCTCAATTGATAATAGTTTTTTAAAACCACATAATGCAATAATATAATTCTTAGCAACTTACATTGACAGAAGCTTATGAAACTAATATAACTAATATAACTCTCTGTTACCATTTTAGACAATGTTTTATAGAATGGACTAATAAGGAAAAATTTCCTAAACCAAATCAACAATTCTTGAAGAAGAGAGTATAAACGACCAATCCAAATTATAAAACTAAGTGGTGGTTAGAGTTTCCTCTTAGATGACATGATGGAAGCTAGATAAGTAATAGAGAAAATTATTTTGAGATATTAAATTTCTAAAAGATTATCTTCCATTTTTAATGATATATAAATAACTACACAATTGGCCATTATTGTTTATCTAAAATATGCAATCATATGCTCTCAGCAGCTGTAATAATAATCTTAAATTATATAGCAACACATATAATAGATGCTGATTTCATAGGCGTAGCCAGGATTTTCCTAGGGGGGGGGGGATTAAAAATTACTGGGGGCTACGCCCCCAGACCTACAAAATACTAACTAGGTAAAATTCCACTTTTACAGACATATTTAACAGTTAGAAAATATACTACAGTTAATATTTTAACAAATTTTACTAATCAATGCTATTGATAATAAATATAGCAACAATTTGCATACATTATTTAACGCCATCTATTTTTTTAAATAAATTTTTTTATTAAAACAATGACATATCATAATGTTAATTTTTAGCTAGAATTCTTTAAAAATTTAACTTAGATGTTTAAGCCAAACAAAATGAATATTTATATTAAAATTCCGGATAATTCAGTTTATCACCTTGTATGATTCGAAATATTAAAAGGGCTAGTAAAGTCTCATATTAAGATAAACATAAATTTAAGCAATGATTTAATATATCTATCTTATTAGATATTTTAAGAATAAATAGAAACTAAAAACAATTATATTGTGTCTTAAGAAAAACAAATGATAATAAGTAAGGGAACTTTATTAGATACCTTATATTCTATGTATAAAAAAATGTTTAAAATATAAATTTTAATAATAATGTCATATTATTTTAAATTATTTGAATTTGGTCTGCTAAATATATATCTTCTTGGAAGAATAGCCTTGGAATATTTGTGGGATAGGATCCTTGATGGTACCATTAATGCAGATGGATGTGAATTTAAATGCTTAGTTAAGTATCATAGGAAAAATTGGATATTGTGGTGATGAAAAATATTGATTTTGAAGAATTATTATAGTTATAACTTTTTTTCCTTATTATCACGATGATCCGGTAATTCTTTAATAAAGTTTGCATCAGATATAGGAATAAATTAGGCTCTCGTTTATAAAATAAAAACACTAAAGATCTTTGGAAGAAATAATTATGCAAATATATTGAAGTCTTGAATTATTTACATGGCAAGGATGCCATATTAGAAATGAAATATTTTCTAACTATAAAATAAAGACCAGAATGATATGATGAAACAATTAAGATTTTATATATATTTCTCACCACCTCTAGTTGGTATATTATATCTTAAAATAATAGTAATTTGTAATAATATCAAAAGTATACTTGTATTAAAAATTTAACTCAAAACTGTTTTTCGAAAAAGAAAAAAATAGTCTCCCTAAAAACACGTAAAAAAAGAGAAGAATAGATATCTAATTTATTACATCCCATCCATTGTAGGATGAATAATAAAATGTTTAATATTTAAAATTATTTATATTAAATATTAGTCAAATTTATTATGATATATATTCTATAACTGTCAAATACTTCTGTAAAAGTGGCATTTTACCTAATATTTTATAATCAATTTTATATAATAGAGGATTATCAACCATATGTATACTACTTATTTTATATAAAGAAATCTCTTATACTTATTTGGACCTTGAAAATATTTTTAGGAAGAGGCATGGTTATTAAATTTAAAAATGAATAATATAGTTGTTTAGTGATTTTGAACTCTGTTAATTAGAATATTAAATTTGTTAGTTTTCAATTAATAAATGATTATATTTATTTAATTATAGTTATATAATAGTTTAAATAATAATAGTCAATTAAGCTTAAACTGTTAATGAAATTATAGTGAGTGATATTGATATTCAATTTTTATCAACACAGAATTTGATTGCAAACTGACATTGTGAAAATATAATTTATATGTATTAATCTAATCTAATATTTAAAATAGTATTCAT